TTGGTTTTGCACTTTAACAGTATGTATCTGTTAGAGGGCAGGTAAGTGGCACAGGAGATAGAGAGCCAGGCCTGGAATCAGGAAGATTCATCTCTCTGAGTTCGAATCTGGTTTCAGACACTTATTAACTATGTGACCCTGGGCAAGCCACTTAACCCTTTTTGCCTCAGTTTCCTCATATGAAAAATGAGCTGGAGAAGGAAATGGCAAACTACTCCAGTATCTTTGCCAAGAAAACCCCAAATAGAACACAACTAAAATGACTGAACAGCAATCTGTTAGGAGGGAGGACTCTTTTGAGTGAGAGAGAGTATCACTGGGAAGTGACAATGATGTAAAAAGTGAGAAGAGAGCAACAATAAAGCACTTAAAAAGGAAAATGTGAATAAAAATAAAAGAACATTTTTCCTTTTAAATACTTCTTTGATTGAGAACACTTAATTTAACATCAACCTTTTTCTTTTTGGAATTTGCTACTCTTATAAAGAATGCAATTTAGGACAGCTTGGTGGCGAAGTGGATAGAGCACCAGACCTGGAGTCAAGAGGACCTGAGTTCAAATCCAGCCTCAGACCATCCACCTGACACTTACTAGCTGTGTGACCCTAGGCAAGTCATTTAACCCCAGCTGCCTTACCAAAAAAAAAATCCAATTCAATCTTATTTCTATTCATAAGCACTAACTTCTGATTAATGTACTTCCAACATTGTTAATCCTGTAAAAGGTAAATCCTTTTTTACATGAAACACATTGGGGATGGGGTACATACCCTTTATTATAAACAATACTACTAATAATAGCTAGCATCTATAATACAAATGTGAAATTTATATAAAACTTTAAAGTTTTAAAAACTATGTAAATGATCTCCTTTGATCCTCACAAGTCTGTGGGGTAGGCGAGATTATATCCTCCTTTTACAGACGAGGAAACTGTTGCATAAGGAAGGAGCATGTGTGAAATCTCTGAGAGAATGCGGCAGATTTAGGGTCAAAAGCAGGTCAGGGCCCCTGGGTAGGGAATCAAAGTTTAACCATTGGATCAAATCTCTTCTTCCTTACTTCCAGACTTATGGCCAAAGGACCCAGTCTAGATCAGCTCTGAGGGTAAAGGGAGAAATAGAGCCTAGAGGAAGATGTAATGTTTGCAAGAGTCTGTTGCAAGAGTGTCTAACAATTGGCTCTCTGGGGGGGAAATGTAAGCTGGACACACTTTTAAGTTTAGTCTATATTATTAACATTTTCTCCACCACTTTCTTAAGTTTAGACAATTAACAAAACAATCTAACCCTGATTTATAGCTTTTACCAACGAAAATTTATCAGCTGTCAACAGCAGTATGAGCTGGCTCCAGAATAGCTGCACTTGTGTGTCTGTGTCATAGCTGCTGAAGGAGCAAGAGGGAAAAGGATAGCAGAAAGCACACCAATTATGGTAGTGGGAAGAAATAAGGTTCCTGTGGCCATCTGCCATCACCATTATGAAAGGGAAGTTACATAAGTGAAACATATTTGTATAAGCTCAGAACTAACTATATATACAAATCCATGTTCAATGCTGGCCCTACTCATATGATAACGCCTTACTTTCCCTCCAAACCTATAATTTATTGGTATAAAGAACTCTCAGTGAGGACACTCACTTGCTCACTATTTCAGGCAGATGCCAGTCATGCCTCCCCTCACTCGCTACTCCCCAGTTATCTCCTTGAGAAACTTTTTGCAGCCTTGACATTAGGTCCAGAAACCGACTAGCCCAAACTTAGCATTCCAACTATCTGCATGCTCTGCTCCCTTCCCTTCCCCTTTACCAGTAGTCTCCTGCCCTGGTTTCCACCTCTAGCTCTGGGAACAGTAATCAAATCCACACTACCATTCCTGGAACGCACATATCAATTTTTTGGCCTCTGACTCCACTCCCTAGCCCTGTAACTTTCCAGACCAAAGTGCATTGTCTTCTCTATTAAAATGTAAGTTTCTTTTTAAAAAAAATTTTTTTTAGCCAATTGGGGTTAAGTGACTTACCCAGGGTCACACAGCTAGTAAGGGTCAAGTGTTTGGTCTGAGGCCAGATTTGAACTCAGGTCCTCCTGACTTCAGGGCCAGTGCTCTATACACTTCACCACCTCGATGCCCCAAAATGTTAAGTTTCTTGAGATCAAAAACTATTTTCACTTGTATCACCAGCCTTTAGGATACTACTTAACATATAGTCAGTCACCTCTTATTAAATGGTTTTTCATTCATTCATTCATTCAACAAATGCAGATCTGTATCTGTTCTGTCTGTAACTTAAGAGTCTTGGAGAGTTGCCCAGGGCACTGAGAGGTTAAGGGACTTGTCCAGGGTCATACAGCCAGGCTGGGTCAGAGGCAGGACCTGGACCTAGGTTTTGCTGACTCCAAGACTAGACCTTAATTCAAGACACTATGCTGCCTTTCATCCCCTATTAAGTTGTGTGATTTGAGAGGTACCCCAAAGTAATTCCCACATGTCTGTTATGGTGTTTGGAATGACAGAAGATATAGGAAAGAAATAGTTCAGCTCAAAATAAAGAACTTTCTAATACAGCTCTTAAGAAACGGAATGGATAGCTTTATGAGGCAGTAATATGTTTAAGCAGAGGTCTGGATGTTATGGGGAGCCTGTAAACCAGGTGATTTCTAAAGTCCTTCCAATTGTTTGAGTCTCTAACTTATTCATTTGAAGGTACTCTAGACCCTGGTTAAAATGAACAAAAAATGTGATCTAAAAGGGTAATATTTTTATTGGTTAGCAAACTTAGTTGGTCAGTATGAGTAACAGAAAGCAAAGTTTGATGGAATGTAATAGAGGACATGTAATCCAAATTAAGAGAAAGGAACTCTCAAAGGTCTCAAGCAAGGGCTGCCACAATAGAGAGTTCTAAACAAACCTGGAGCAGAACTACGGCACTGGTAATTCGAGGTTGGGGCTGAAGGTATCAAAGAGAAAGACAGAAAGGTGCTGAAAGACATAGACACACCCAAAAACAACTTCACAATTTTGCCTAGAACTACTTCTTTGAAATACTATGTAACAATTGCCTGTTGCAACATGGGTTGATCTGTACTAATTTCCTTTTAAGGAGTTAGTCCTCTAATATTAAATTGTAAACTTCTAGCACAGGGACTACTTCTCAACTAACTTTGCATCTCCCTCAGTGTCTAGGCATACAACAGGCACTTAACATCTGTCAGAATCAACTATGAATCAAGGCACAAGCTGCTCTGGGCCCACAAGATAGTAGTAGTACTCAAATAATTTTTCACCTTTTTATGGATCTTACAGAACAAGGACATAATGACCTTTTAGACCCGGCCTGCACAACATACGGCCCAGGGGCCATTTGTGACCTGCCAAAGGATTTAGGGTGGCCTATGAAAAATGTAAGGTTGCCACTGTGCACTCTCCTATTTGTCACATGACCCACGGCAACCAACCATTATCAGTCTGTCTCTAGTCTAACCTATCTGCTGCTCCAAGTTTAGCTTATTTTAATTTTGGCCCTTACCTACTGCCAAGTTGTGCTTTTAGACCACAGCAATTTTGACACATTTATGGCATCAGGAGATGTCTAGCCAAATGATTACGCTGGTTACATGTACATACTTAAATTGCTTCTATAGTTACACCAACAGTTCATATCTGCAACTTTGACATTATGTTGCACTATATCATCCTTACCAAAATTCTACAGGAATTTGGTGGACAGAATGAAAGGGATTTCACATGCATACTTTGAAAACTATTTAAAGATACCTCTGCATGAATAGAAATACCAGTTCAACAAATATAGTGCCTACTGTGTGAAGGCAATGGAGATATAAAGACACTTGATACTGTCCCTCATTCAAAGTAACATTCTTCTAGAGGAAGATACCATATGTAAACAATATTTAAGTATATGTAAAGCCCATATGAAGTTGAGTGTGATGGGGGTGGGGGAGCGGGAGATCAAAACTACTGTAAAAAAATTTCTGGGAAAAACATTTTGTGCTACAAGGATTAATGAGGGCTTCATGGAAGAAATGGTGCTTTGAAGGAAGTTTTCCTGGAAAGAAAAGGATTCTGAAAAGCTGAGAAAGGGGTCACATTCCTGGAACATAGGACAAACAACTTGCCAGTAATGCAGAAGCGGGCTGGATACAACGTGATGAATTGGGAAACTACAAGCAGCTCTTTTTTGGTTGTATTGGTACCCTGTGGAAGGTACAATAAAGCTGTCAAGAAAGACGAGTCAAATTGGGAAGCGTTTTAAATGCTAGTTAGGCAACAAGTATTATTATAAAGGTTTGCCAGGCTCCATGCTAAGTGCTGAGGGTTCAAAGAAAGTCCTCTATCTCAAAGAACTCACAATCTAATAGGGGAAACAACAACAACAACAAATAACTTCTATTTCATTTTATGGGCAATAGGGAGCCGCTGTGACTGCATTCTTGAGAGTGATATCTATCCTACCATAACGTTGCAGATAGAAAGGAAAAAGAAAATTCCTGCTACCTGGCCACTTATAGGGCAGAAGCAAGCAGCTACCAGCTCAACTTTGACACTTAGCACAACAGCTTCCCCAGGGCTCGCAGGGGCCTTCAGAAGCAGTGCTACCTATTCATCGGAACCACCTCGTTTCTTAAGTTTGACGAGTTTAAAACAGTGGGTTCCCCCCCATGTATTCACCGAAGACCAGACCACGGGAGTCTTCTTTAACTTGGGAAACTGGTGTGGGGGAGGCAGCCGTGCCTTCACCCCTTTCCAGTTCAACAGCCTAGTTTCCTGGGATCCTTCCTCCCTCTCCTCGCCGCCTCACTTCCCTAGGGGCCCCCACCTGTGCTCGGCCAGGCCCTGGCCCTTCTCCACTCTCACACACAGCCCACCACCGGCACTCGGGGAGGAGAGGGAAAGGGGTGGCAGAGGAAGTTCGGCAGCTGAGTCCCCCAGAAGCTTACCCCTGCCTAGCTGGCCCCTGGCCACACCTGCACTCACCTGGGCACGAACAGATCGGCCCCCGCCCTGCGAGTCCTGGGGGAAGGCAGTGCCCTTCCCGCTGCCCAGTTAGGCTGCGGCTGTTGCAGAGCTGCTCCCGGGCTGCCCACCTGGGCCAAGGCTACGTTCGCTCCGAACCCCCCGGGAAGTTCCCCGACCAGCACAGCGCCCCCAGCCCAGGGAGCACCGAGACGTTGGGCAAGGCCAGGCAAGGTGAGGTGGCAGGAAGATAAACTGGTGTTGCCTGAGAGGGTGTGCACACAGCTTCCTCTCCCGTTTTCCTGCCCGCCCTCGCACCCTGGCTTCCTTCCTTCGGGGGTACATCAGGCTCCGGAGATGTGGTGGGGGCGGGGGGAGTGGAGTTAGGAGGCTGAACTCGGTGCGAAGGTCTCCGGCCAAGACAGAAGGGTTTCTGAATGGGGGGGGGGGGAAACTACGAAGAATCACCACAGGACACCATACAAGGCGACTCCTGGTTTCAATGCTAAATGCTGGCTAATAAGGCTCTCCACCGTTTCTTTAAGTTCGGCAATAGCTATCTCTGAGGCTCGTCTGGCACTCTTGCTCCAACAGTGATTCTTTGACCATCTGGAGTGCAATCCAGTTTAACCAGTACTGATTGTGTTCTACTGGGCGGTGTGCTGCAAAGTACAATAGAAGTTAGGGAGCCCACCCCCCAGGAGCTTGCACTCTTCGGGTAGAGGATAGGATGGGGTCAAGATACACATACATGATACTTCCCGGATGATGGAATATGAAATACTAAAATAATATATAAAAAAGTGTCACAGCAATTGAGATCTAGGTGAGTAGCATGGGAGTTCCAATGGGAACCAATATGGAGAGGTAGAATTTGAATGGGGGCATGACGGCAGGCATGTGCAGGGCATACAATAGGAAGTACAATGCATTTGGATCCAAGGAGCTGGTTTCCAATTCCAGCCGGCTACTTACTATTTGTGTGATCTTGGGGAAGTTAACTAAGGGTTCAAAGCCTTAAAGTCTGCATCTGTAAAATAAAGGAGTTGGGCCAGGTGAACACTAAGACCCCTTCTGGCTTTCAATCCTATATTGGGGGGGATAGTAAGACCAATTTAGCTTTAAAGGAGAGTTACTGTGAGAGGCTAGAGAAGAAAACCCAAAATGGGGTGAATTGCAGAGTGGGACACTACTGAAAAACAACTTAACAATAACACTGAGGGAAAGGGGTGGAAAACTATCCTGACTCTGGCCCTCATTGGAACCTTCCCACCCACGCACTTCCCAAATACTGCATGACATATATGACATTCAATAGCTATTCCATATTTATTATGTACCTAATATATGCAGAGCACTATGCTAGGATTGGGGAAGATACAAAATTTGGGCAAGACATGGTTTTTAACCACCACAGAGCTTATGTTCCAGAATGGCGGCAAGACACAAAATCAAATGATCATACAAGATACCAGTAGCACAGAATAAATGCAAAGGATGGATCACAACTTGTCGGGTTTGTGGCTGAGGGTATCTTTGTTCACGTATTGGTTCAACCCAACAGCTGATGAAGAAGCCCTGACCAATGCTGAGATTGGGGTTCTGTGCTTTCCGTTTTCAGGGTGAAGGTGAAAGAGAGATTAGTATCATGGAGGTGACAGTTAGATTTTCAGGAATTGGTGGAAATTCAGTGGAGGAGGGAGAAGCCTATTTCCAGCACAGCAAATAACACAAGTAAAGACAGAAGGGTTTGGAGCTTACAGGATGTTTGCAGTGCAGTCTAGTAGTTTAGTTTATGGAGAATAAGGTAAAGCTAGAAAATTACCAATAACGAAAGGCCTTGATGCTGTACAAAGTTGTGACACCTAGTAGAATGTGAGCTTCGGACAAACGAGCACTCTTATTTTGTATCCTCAGCATTTCACACAATTTCTTGCATTTTGTGTTAGGTCCATATCTTTGATTTAATTGGTATGTGGCAATACTGATATGGGAACTCCTCACATATCACAATGATAGCTTAAGAGTTTCAGAGCTGCTCAGGGAACTGAGCACTTAAATGACTGAACCAGAGCTAGTAAGTGCCAGAAACAGAATCTAAACACAGGTCCTCCAGGAAGCCAGCCCTTTGTCCATAGCACCACACTACTTTATTTTGCCTAAAATGTAATGAGTGAAAAAGCATTTAACAGACACTTCTGCTCTACGCCAGGCATTACGCTAAGTATCGGAGATACACATTTACTTACATTCTCATAAGGGAAGATAACTTTTAAGAGTGGTGGCCAGAGAAGGATGTTTTGGCTTAGGAGTCAAAATGATAGTGAGTAGAGTCTCAGGACAATTGATATATCCATATTAGGAATGGTGGAATTGATCTGATTAGTTTCCAGAACTAGAAGCAGAAAGCAAGGAAAGGTTAAGAAGGGTACCAGGCTCAGTGTGCAGATGAGCACAAGGCAAAAATGCTAGGCGTGAGCTAGATAAGAACACCAACCAGGACACCATGGTGCAAACTGGAGTAGTAGGTGGAGCTAGGAAACATCACACAAAGAGAGATAGAGTAGCAGGTGCTTAAGAAATGTTCATATTTGTTAGGAAGCAAGAGAGTGCCATTTATTTTGGAGTAGTGATACAACTAGATTTATGTGAGAGAAGAGATCATTCTGGCAGCAATATAAAAATGGACCAGAGAAAGCAGACTATTGCAGCAGTGATGAGAGCTTGTATTACTAATTTAGCGACAATGGGAACAAAGAGGGAAGGAATGGATGTGGAAGATAGCATGAATGGACCAATTTGGGTAACTGACTGGATGTGAGAGGAAAGCGAGAGGGATAAGACAAGATCTGACCGTCAGTCACTATGAATCTAGGAGCCTCAGTGGCAGCCATAGCTTCCTAAACAGTTTTCAGGGCTGCCTAGAAACTCTTTAGGAGTTGGCCTTACAATTGTATATATTTAAAAATCATACATTTGGGGACTGCTAGTCTTGTTCACACTCTAAAAGTACTGTTGCTTTTACACATAAGGCTATTTTGTTAAAGAGCAAAAGACAAAAAGTCTTTTGTTAAAGATGTCCCCAAGAACATTAGAAGGAAACATGTTTCCAATGCTTCAGATTAGGGTGGGAAGCCTTTGGGTGTCTGAGTAATTACCTCTAGCCCTGGCAAATCCCAAAAGGTCATACTGCTCTCAAATACAATAGTTAGGTGTTACAGAAGCTAATGTTTCAAAGAACAGTGAGAGGGGAAACCTAACAGTTTTTTTACTATTGTATGGAATTTCAGATGGTATTTATGAAAGTTGATTTGATACCTTTTCCTTCAAAGGAAACCTTGGTGAAGTAGAGAGTAGTGGTACTGGATGTGGAGCTGGAGGGTCTGAATTTGAATCCAATCTCTGCCATTTACTACCTGTATAACTTAGAGCAAACAACCTCACCCCTCTGGGCATCAGTTCCCTCATTTCTACAATGAGGGCTAGGATTAGATGATTTTTAAGGTCCCATTCATCTCTTAACTGTCATCCTGTGAAAAGCATGGTGCTATGGACATAAAACCAGCCTCTGGCCTTCAGAAGCTTACATTCTACTATTAACAGCAAAGCTCTGAATACGAGATTCTGTCATAAGGGAGGTCAGATCTTGGATATACTCAGTTTCAAGTGCTGGTGGTACATCCAAATGGAGATATCTTTTTTTTTTTCCGGCAAGGCAGTTGGGGTTAAGTGACTTGCCCAGGGTCACATAGCTAGTAAGTGTCAAGTGTCTGGTCTGAGACTGGATTTGAACTCAGGTCTTCCTGACTCCAAGGCCAGAGCTCTATCTACTGTACCACCTAGCTGCCCCCAAATGGAGATACCTCATAGGCAGTTGGAGACAGATAACTGGAGATGGGAATACAGATTTGGAGTAAAACACTGACAGCTGAAATCATAGCAGCAAATGAGATTGCCTTGGCAGTATATGGAGAGAAAAGGCAACCAGTCAGAATACTGGGGAATACGACCTTTAAGCACTTGGGGAAAAAAAGGTAACTGAGACCAAGTACCTATTATAGAGGACAAGCAAGGAGGTACTGTGTCTCTAAAGCTGTATGAGGATACTGCTCCCATAGACAGGGATGATCAACAATATGCTGTTATCACTGGTGATGTTGGAGACAGCAGTTTCAGGAGACTGTTGAGACAAAATTCTAAGAGAAGAAAAGAAGAGGTGGTGATAAGCAGATCTGTTTGTCAGTGATAGCAAGATTAGAAAAGTAGCTAGATAGGGTAGAAGGGTCAAGGGAAGGCACATTTTGTGAGAATTTGGGAAACCTGAGCATGTGTGGTGTAATGAGTACTGGTGATCTTAAGGGCCTATACAGAGGGGGTGGGTGGAGGCAAAAGGGAAACTGAGACACATTTAAGAAACATGAAGGTAGAATTGACTAGATATAACATGAGAGGGAAGAGTTGAATACCAAGGTTTTGAAACACTCAATAAGAATTTATTAAGTACTACTATATGTTAGGCACTTGTGCTAGGTGCTAAGAATACAAAGACAAAAATGAAAGAGTCCCTACCCTCAAGGAGCCTTTGATCTCTTGAGGGAGAGACATATACACATCTATCCATATGTGTATGCATACATGTATAAGTTTTAAAAATAAACAGGAAGTTATCTGAAGGGGTAGGGAGGGCATGGCAACAGCAGCTTGAGGAAAGAGAAAAACACTTCAGGTAGAATATGATGCTTGAGCTGAGCTTTGAAGGAAACTAGGGATTAAGAGCCAGAGTTAAGGAATACATTCCAGGTAGGAGGACAGTCAATGGAAAAGCCACATTTTGTGGGAAGGAGTAACATGACTGTAGACTGTATGAAAGGACACAATGTATAATAGGGCCCAAAAGTTAGGTTGGAGCCAGGTTGTGAGGGGTTTTACATGTCAAAAAGAATTGATATGAAATTGATACAAGATGAAGTGGTACGCTTCTGATGTTTTACGAACAGAGGTGTAATATAATGAGAACTGTGCTTTAGAATAATGTCATTGGTAGATGATGTAGGATTGGTAGATATGGAGAAGGATAATAACCTGAGGAGGGAGACAAAGCAGGAGGCTTTTTGCAGTGGCCGATACTTACCTAAGATGGTAATAGAGTAAGTGTAGAGAAGGAGAGATCCCAGAGATGTCAGAGGTAAAACTGATGAAACTTTGCAAGTGAACACAGAGAAGTGGTTGAATTGTGGCACCACGGATAAAAACAGTAAAGTCAGAAATGGGAGTAAGTTTAGGGAATATAACTGACCACAATTCTATGTCACTATTAAGTTTATAAATCACTTTCCTCACAATAACTCTATGTGGTAACAGTAACCATTTTTTATAAAAGGATATGGAAGCTCAGAGTCTGTAACTTCCCCAGGGTTACACAGCTGGTAGACATCAGAAAAGATCTGAACTCAGGTTTCTCCTAACTATAAATCAATCTAGTGCTCTCTGGGCTGGCTGAAGTTAAGAAGCTAACAGTATGTCCAAGTGGAGATGTCCTAAAGGCAAGTTGGACATTCAGGTCCTCACCAACAATGAATCTGACTTCCTTTCACAACAAACTAACTCTGATCACTTTTTGGCTGAAGCTATAGGCAGCAAGACTTACAACTTTGAAAGGACTGTTTCTCAACATGGCAAAGGGAGAAGTGCAGAATAGCATAGGTAAGGAAGAAGGCTAAAGCCTGCCTCATGGTTCAAGAATACATCGGAAAGGCACAGAAATATACTTTTAAAAGGGGGAGGAAAAGTGCTAGTTATCAGCGTTAAACAATCTTCATGAAATACACAATCACTATATTTAAAAATTTTATCTAATAATTACCACCACCTATACGGCAACAAAGCATTATCACATGAATTTTCATGAAACTTAGCAAGACTGAAATTAGTCAATAAATTAATATTTAGTTTCCATGGGTGCACAGAAGACTTTGCCATTGCCTTTTTTATGGAAAATGTGATTGGCTTACTCTTCTGCAAAAACAAATATCAGTGCTAGGATCAGCAGTGATTTTATGGGCAAAAGAGTTCAGTGAACTCTTGTACTAAAGAAAAAAAAATGCCATTTTCTCAAAGATCTCACCATTTACTTTGTGACTATCCTAATTTATAACCAACTTCCAAGAATAAAAAAGATAAACCAGCAATTCACCACCAATAGAACACTTAATGTAATGTTTATAGCTTTATCCTTAGACTCTTAAGGAAACTTCTAAGTCAGAGTTCTTCCTAGTCTTCATTTTCTTTTTCATGTCAAGTATTAAAGACTTCCACCTATTTTCTCAAATTTGCTTATTCTTTAGCTTATTCTTATTTATAAATGAGAATGCTAAATATTCCTAAACTTAAAAAGTCCTTAATATCTTATTCATTGTATTTGGGGGTTTTCAGTTTTCTCACGGAGAAAAAAATTAATTTAGTCATAACAACTTTATATATTGTCCACCTGCTACTTCTATAACACAAGCCTAGATAGTAAAACTTGGTGTGTGTTATGTTAATTTCCACTACATGGGGAAGGAGAAATCATCAAGAAAATCTTTAACCATCATGTGGAAAACCTTGAAAGTCCAATGCTTTGCCCTCAAGGTTCAATTATTATCTTTTGTCCACTGCTCAATCCATTTCATTATCTGATCTAAATTATTCTCTAGTTCTTCTGGTACATTGCTGGGCAGCCGGTGTACTATTTCAGGGCTGTAGGAGGCCATGGCTTCTTCATAAAGAACTTGGAAAATTTCACACTGAACATTGTCCTGTAGTTTCTTTACACTGTATCCCCTAGAAAGCAAAACTGGGTTTTAGACACACATATACAAAATCTGAATGGAACAAGTATTTGTTTAGGAACCACCCCTCCCTCCAAAAAACTGTTGAAAGTTGATGTAAAAATACTTTCTAGACATTTCATTTTAAGACCAGTGGCAACAATTTAGAAATATCAGAATTTGAGAAAGTTAGATAGGAATGTCAAAACTCAAAATTGAGACCAATCCACAAGTTCAAATTTGACTTGTGTTGCAAGCTGCCCATAACTCAGTTTCCCCATTTACACTGAGCACTGTTATTTAGGTGCCTATTATTATTTTTAATCTAGAATCAGAATATCATGCCACGAAGATGAAGACTACAATGGTGAGGCAACTACATATAGAAGAAAGAAAAAAGTCAAGAAAGTCAGGTCTAAAGAGATCTGAATTCAAATCCTGGCTCCACCATTTTTTGGCTGTTTGTCCTTGGGCAAATCACTTAACAATTCTAGGCTTCATTTCTTTATTTGTAAAGTGAGAATAGTATGGTACCCATCTACTTCAAACACTGATTATGAGAAAAGATTTGTAACTATAAATGATATGTAAACATGAGCTTTTATAATTATTATAAAATAGTCAAGATGTTTTTCTCAGATTAACTATTTGTTCTATTGTTCTTGGTCAGTATTATGGATAAAAATTTAAAATGCCATATAAGGTGCATCCCCTTTAACCCTGTGACTCCATTACTAGGTCTATACCCCAAAGAGATCAAGGAAAGAAAAGCACCCATAAATACAAAAATATTTTATAGCAACTCTTTTTGTAATGACAAAGAACTGGAAATTGAGGTGGTGTTCATCAATTGGGGAATCGCTGGACAAGTTATGGTATGTGAATGTGATGGAATACTATTGTGCTATAAAAAATAACAAGCTAGCTGTGTGACCCTGGGAAAGTCACCTAACCTCAATCACCTAAAAAAAAAGAAGAAATAACAAGGAAGACTGTCAGAGAAACTTGGAAAGACTTGTAAGAAATGATACAGAGTGAAGTGTGCAGAACCAGGGAAATGATTTACACAATAACAATATTGTGTATTGTTTAAAAAGATAAACAACTTTGAAAGACTCAAGAACTTTTATCAACCCAATAATCAAACACAATTTCAGAGGACTTCTGATGAAATATGCTGCCCCCATCTCCTGACAGAAGTGATGGAAAAGTGAAAGACAAAAAATACAGATTGAGACATGTGTTTTGTTTTGTTATGGTCTCAATGCAGGAATTTGTTTTGCTTGACCCTACACGACTGTCACATGGGTTTCGTTTTTCTTACTTTCTCAACAGGGTTGGAGATGGGAGAGGAGGAGATAGTATATCTTAGTGAAAATAAAATTTAATTTAAAAAGTAAAATCATGCTCTGTAAGAAACAGAGGCTTCTTCTCTTACCTCTTTTCAAGTCTTGTATATAATACAGAATTATCTGTTTGAAGCACAAAAACTATATGAAACCATCGTTCAGGGAAGAAGTCACAGCCATGGTAATCAACAATAACTCCACCTTCTTTCATTTTATTTTCTAACTCATCAACTACCTGTTAAAAAAAGTGTAGTAAAGAAAGGAGCAATTTTTCCGTTACATTGTAAGAAATATTTTATTTTTAATTATGAGGAAATGTTTAAAATATAAAGGCATAGAGTGAACTATTGATCATTAATTATATTAATATAAAATCTCCATATAGTGATGCATCCAATAATAATAAGCAGCAATAATAACTTATGCTGTGGAGAGTAGCATAGTATATACAGAACTTGCACTAGAGTCATGAAGATCTGGGTTCAAATCCTGCCTCCAACACATAACAGCTTTTAGACTCTGGCTAAGTAATATAACATCTTTATGTCCCCAAGCCATTCTCCAAGACTATAAATTTCAGAAGAGCTACAGCTCAGCATTAGTATGAGGAATTCCCCTACATGGAACTCTCCATAACGATGAAATTACAATTCTGAGCCAAAAAAAACTGTAATAATCTTATACTCACTCTGTCTTCATCCAAAATGGGACATTCATATTCTTCATCAAAGCCATCATATAACTGTCCTAAAGAAATAGGAAGCATTACATCATTCAAAATTATCTCAATGTCATTAGCAGATATTTGGAATTTAAGTTTAGCTATTTTTTCCTTCAAAACAATAAGATATTCTAATTCATAATTAATTATTAGATTACTATTAGATGTACAAATAGCATGGAGTAGTAGATGAAGGCTTGGAGTCAGGTAGATTTTGATTGAAATATCACCCATGACACTAGCTGTGTGACCAGTCATTCAACTTTTGAGCCCTCTGTAATTTTCCTAAACTTATTAGCTAAAAGTCAGAGGGTTTCAGTGGTATTTCATGTACAAATGGAATTATACTGACTAAATGCCATGTGAACAATATGTTTACATCAGAAAAGGTGAACCAGCATAAGATATGGAAACCAAGTCAAAAAAGACTTGAAAGAAGTACCAGTGGTTAGCCTGATTAGTAGACTTAAGGAGACATAACAGCTATTTAAATAATACAAAGTCTACCACTTTGAAATGGAAGATGACATTATAAGTAAAAGTCAAAACTAGGATTAATGGATCAAGTCAAAATGAAGCAAATTTCTACTCAATACAGGAAAAGAATTCTACAGCTGCCAACAACTCCAATAGGCTCCTTAGGAGAAAGTAAAAACTCCACCATGGGAGAAACTAGGTCTAACAGCAGACACCATCTAATAGAGACAGGGCTCCTTCTAGGGGAAAACTAGTGTATTTCTGCTCTCCCCTCACCCATTTTTTTCTTAATTGTTTTTTAAAATAAGATCTTAAAAGAAATATTTATCAAAGCACAATTATCATTAGTTGTGACATGATTTATTCAGGATTTCTAGCCCTATTAATGATAACTGTAAGCCTGAATCACCAGCTAAGTAACTTGTACATAGTACAGTATTGTTGAATGTTGTCAATATAGTACTTTGTAATCAATTAAACTGAACATTTATGAGTTTTTTCTTTCTCTTATTCCTTCTAACAAACTAAGACTAGCTAAGGTCAGGTTTGCCTTTTTTTTTTTAAAAAAGAACAGCTATTTCAGGAGGTCAAAGGAAGTAGGATTAAAACCAAGAATCACCTACGCAGCAAAACTGAATATAATCCTTCAGGGGAAAAAATTCACATTCAATGAAATAGAGGACTTTCAAGCATTCTTGATGAAAAGACCAGAGCTGAACAGAAAATCTGACTTTCAAATATAAGAGTTAAGAGAAGCATGGAAAGGTAAACAGGAAAGAGAAATCATAAGGGACTTATTAAAATTGAACTATTTTCATTCCTACATGGAAAGATATTTGTAACTCAGGAGATCTTTTCCAGTATTAAGGTAGTTGGAGGGAAAAAGAATACACATACACATACATACACACACACACACACACACAGAGGGCACAGGGCGAGTTGAATACGAAGGGATAGCTAAAAAAATAAAAATAAGGGGTGAGAGAGGATTGTACTGGGAGGAGAAAGGGAGTAGTAGAATGGGGTCAATTATCTCACATAAAAGAGGCAAGAAAAAGCTTTTACAGGGAATGAATCTTACTCTCATCAGATTTGGCTTAAGGAGGGAATGATATACACAATTGGATGTGGAAACCTATCTTACCAGATAAGAGAGGTGGGGATGATAGTAGGGAGGGGGTAATCAGAAGCAAACACTTTTGAGGAAGGAAAGGGTCAAAAGAGAGAATAGAATGGGGGGGTGGGATAGGATGGAGGGAAATATAGTTAGTCTTTCACAATATGACTATTATGGGGGCAGCTAGGTGGCGCAGTGAATAGAGTACCAGCCCTGAAGTCAGGAGGACCTGAGTTCAAATCCGGCCTCAGACCAAACACTAGACATTTACTAGCTGTGTGACCCTGGGCAAGTCACTTAACCCCAGCTGCCTAAAAAAGAAAAACAAACAAACACAATATGACTATTATGGAAGTGTTTTGCATGACTACACATGTGTAACCTATATGTATAACAATATATGCTTGACTTCTCCATGAGGGTGGGTGCGAAAGGAGGAAGGGAGAGAATTTGGAACTCAAAGTTTTGAAAACGAATGTTAAAAATTATTTTTACATGCAACTGGGAAATAAGATATATATAGGCAATGGGGTACAGAAATCTGTCCAGCAACGGAAAACAGAAGAGGAAGTGGATAAGAAAAGGTTGGGGGGGGGGAGTGTTAGGAGGGAGGGCAGATTGGGGGAAGGGACATTCAGAATACATGTTATCTTGGGGGAGGGGAGGGGAGAGATGGAGAGAAAATTTGGAACTCAAAATCTTGTGGAAGTGAATGTTGAAAACTAAAAACAAATGAATTAATTAATAAAAAGCTAAAAAAAAAAAGGAAACCCAGCTATTTCATCCATGTGGGTACTACCTGTACCAAGGCAAATCACCACTATCTCACATTTAAGTAGAAAATCTCCATGAGCTGCTATGGAAAAATAAATGAACCATAAATTTATGGCTAACCTCTCTTAAAACTACCTAGGCTGATCCTCAAGTACCTAACATAAGTCACCTCAAATCTATCATCTCCACAGATGAGAATCTGTGCTCCAATTACTTATTTCCACCTATCTACAGGATGCCTTGCTGTGAGTAAAAACTCATCATGCTCAAAGCAGAATCCCTCAACTTCCTAAATTAGCTTCCCTCCCCAATTTCTGTCATTGCTGCTACTCAATATCGATGGCTAGAATACCTAGAGTTATTTTAGATTTCCTACCTACCTTCATTCCTTATATCCAGTCTATCACCAACCACCTCCTCTGAAATATCTCTAGATTCTTGCCTCTCTAATCCTACTGGTCCTATTCTAGACCAAGCCCTCCTCACTGAATACTTGGGTTAGTATTAGAAGCTAGCCTCCTTGTCTCTGCCTCCTTTGACATTCTCCCTTAAGCTCATCCCATGTACCAAAACCAGACTAATCTTAAAATGTTACTTTCATCATACTTCTACCACTCAAAAACCTACAGAATTTCCCAGATAACTAGTCCATCAAGTCCAAATTTCTCTACCTAATTTTTCAAGACCCCCCATAATCTTACCATTCTTTCCATCCTATGCCTACTACCTCTGTCATTTTAGGCAAGTCATTTGACTTCCCCAGGCCTCAGTTTCCTCATCCTTCTACCGAAGACCTCTGGGATCACTTCCAGCTCTAGATCTACAAGCCTATGTTCAATGCAACAATTACTTATTAAATGCCTACCATGTTATTATAAATGTACAGCTCTATGTACCATGCTGGGTGCCAGCAGAGAAACAAAGCTTAGATAATAATAATAATAAATATATTTTTATATGTGTATGTATATACACACATACACACACACACACACATACATGCTATCTTGGGGGAGGGGAGGGGAGAGATGGAGAGAAAATTTGGAACTCAAAACCTTATACATATATATACATATATATAATTTATATATAATATTTAGAAATATTATAGTATTTATAAAACACTTTAAAAGTCTGCAAAGCATTTACATAGTTGTAATCTCTTGAGGTCCTTTTCACAGGTAATATAATTCTCTTTTTACAAATGATCAAGCTATGGTTCAGAAGGTTAAGTGGCTTGCCCAGGTGCATAGCATATATAAGGGATCAGAGGTGGAGTCTGAACTCAAGTGTTTCTGGCTCCCAGGCCAGTACTTTATCTACTACACTGCTTCAGATACAACACAATCCCCATCCTTATGGAATTTAAGTACCTAATAGGGAGATATAACTGAAATTCAGAATACTATAATACAAAACAAAGTTAAGCAAAACATCACACGCTGCATTAAGAAAAACAGTATCTAAAATGAGGAAGAAATCATTCTGCTGTGCCCATTAAAATACTGGGGGTCAGGAGCAGCTAGGTGGGGCAGTGGATAGAGCACTGGCCCTGAAGTCAGGAGGACCTGAGTTCAAATCCGCCCTCAGACAAAACACTTGACACTTACTAGCTATGTGACCTTGGGCAAGTCACTTAACCCCAATTGCCTAAGGAAAAAAAAATACTGAGGTCAGCTGTAGATATCACATTAGAAGAAACATTTTTAATTTGGAAAGGGTCCAGAGGAGAACAATTAGGCTGGTGAAAGGCCTCTAGATTATGCCATTTAAGGATCTATTCGAAGAGCTGCAGGTGTTTAGCCTTGGGAATATAAATTAGGGAAGACAGGATAGTTGCCTCCAGATGCCTAAAAGAAATGGTCTTCTGACAAAGAAAGCAGAACTAGGAACAACAAAGAAGCTGTAGAGAGACACACTTCAGAATTATTTTAACAAAAACTTCCAAATAATACTGTTGTTTAGTTGTTGCGGTCATGCCTGACTCTTCGTGACCCCATTGGGGCTCTCTTGGCAAAGATACTAGAGTGGTTTGCCATTTCCTTCGAATAATAATAACCCTTCCTGACAAAAAGGGCTACCTCAAAATGGAATGGGCTGCCCTGGTAGGTAACAGATCTCCTTCGTTGGAGGTTTTTAAGTAATGGCTGGATGGCCATTTATTGGGAAGGTTGTAGAATGAATTCTCTAGATGTCTAAGGTCCTTTTCAAGTCAAATTCTGAAAGTGCATGAAAAATATATTAAGACGGTGCAAGCAGAGCAATTGAGCTACCACTCAATACATTACAATGCCAGAAAACAAAATAAAAAGTCTGGCACAGAAAATTATACACATTTGTTCAGTATTCATCAGAAACAGCTTTCTTTCTTTTTTTTTTTAAAGGAAACTTTTTTTTTCTTTCTGGTGAGGCAATTGGAATTAAGTGACTTGCCCAGGGTCACAGAGCTAGTGAGAGAAACAGCTGTTTTTAAAGAAAAATAAACACCTCAGTTAATAATTGAACATTTTCATAAAAGGCCACCTTCCCTTACTACCTCCTCCCACCTCTTCCTGCTATTAAGTTTAAAACGGTAAGTTGATTTCTTCTGTCAAGACTTGACACTAGAAACTTTTTATGTGGGCATGGATGACAAAATCTGTTTAGAGGAAGAGACATAAAATGAGATAAGGCTGAAAAAGCAGAGTGGCATAATACTACAGAAGGCGTCAAGTGCCATGCAAAGGAGTTTGGAATTGGTTAGCTAAAGGCAGACACTGTAGATTTCCTACTCCTCAACACCGAATCAAGTAAGTTGAATCTCTTCACTGTGCCTTTATACCATCATATGTTGCATTTATTTAAATCATAATACATTTATGATGCAAAGTTTCCTTTGGCAAGTGTAAAGTTTACCTTCTTGTGCTAAATCGCCCACATTAATGTACGTCAGTCCTGTTCTTGATGCAAGTTCTTTACCTAGTGTGGTCTTTCCAACCCCTGGTGTACCTGTAAGATAATTCACAAAAGATACCTTAGGTTAACATTTCACAAGGAAAAATGAGAGACAGAGTATCACCTTCTTAAGGATCTTAGTTTTAGGGTTAGAAGAGATACTGGAGATCATCTAGTTCCTACTCTTCTTTTTATAGATGAGGAAAAAATCAAGAAATTAAGGGGCTTGCTCAAGATTACAAAAGTAGCAAAATCACTTAGTAGCACAGCTGGGATTTAAATTCAAATGTTATGATTCTAAATTCAGTCCTCCTTCCAAGCTACATGCTGTCAAACACTTATTGGTCAGATTGCTGTTACACTAGTCTTTTTCTGAAGCAAGAACAGAGCCCACAGATGCTTGATATTTTTTGAAACTGAGGTCCCTTATTGTCACATACCATCTTCAGACTGCTATTCTTGTAACAGAATGCACATTTACTCTTATGGAGAAATTTTTATAAATGCCCTGGGCCAAACCAATTGCCAATTTTACTTTTTAACCCTGACAGGTTAATGAGGGCACCAAAGCTAATTGGCCTGCACATCATCCAGTCTTATGCCACTTTCCTTCTCTGGGCCTTAGTTTCCTTATCTGCAAATAAGACTGCCCTGGAATACCTCCAACTTCCTCTTCCAGGAAGATTGGTCTGTTAACTTCTTACTTGGGTAACCCAAAAGTCACACAAGACATGTGTTCATTAATGCAGATAATACAAATACTTAGTGCGTTTATGAAAATAATATAAAACTTAATCTCAGTGAAGAACAGATCTGGTATGTGTGATCTTCAGAAATATCTGTGCTACCTACAATGATTTCATAATTGGGTCACACCGACAAGCTGGGCAGAGGAACTTTGCAAAAGCCGAAAGTGGAAGACGAATTTCTTTAAAAGGCAGCGGCACATCTATTCTAAGGAAATGACAACAAACCAACCACACTCCACAGCCTCAATCAAGCTGGTCAGGAGGTGGCTGTGGATCCAAGCCCTTTGTCTGGGGAGAAGTCACGACCGCGCTTCCCCTTAAACCTCCGAACACATCAATCACTAGACATCATCTAACGTGATCCAGGACGTGGCTGACGGAAAACCGAACCGACAGCGAGACCACCGGGGTTCTAGTCTCGTGGCCAAGTAATTTCCATGCACCGACACTGGGGGGTGGGGGTGCCTTCCAGGCTTCACTTTCTCCGGGTGTACAGCGGAACCCGAGCAGCTGGAGGACCGCTAGGCTCTCCGACCCCCGACGCCCAGAACGGGCGCTTTTACTCCTTCATCCTCGTGGGAAGATGGACTGACCAACCGAATTAACGTCTCCCCCCGCCCCGGCTCCTCCGGCTCCCCCGACCCCCCCTCCCCGGCAACGGCACGGAGGCCGGGCACGGCCTGACCCCCGAGAAAGGAATTCGTGCAGGCCCAGCCCCGCCGCCCGAGCCGCAGCCTGACCCGTGAGCAGGATGTTGGGCAGCTTCATGGTCGCGGCGGCCCCGGCTCCGCCCCGGTCGCCCGCTCTCCACGAGGGAGCAGCAGGTAGAGGCTGGCCAGGAGCCGCGGGGCGGGCCCAGGGTCCTCGAGCACCACTCGGCGCACACTCCGAGGCTCATCGCCTCGCCCCGCCCCTCCCGCCCATTGCTGAGCAGCCCCTCTGTCACAGCGCCTCAGAGCAAATCCGAGCCGACGGGCCCAGGTCCGTGCGCCGCCGGAGCAGGCAATGCCCAGGACAGCCCAGACGGCCCGCTCCTACTCCTCTTCCCCCCTCCCCTCTTCGCCGTCGTCTAGGCGCCAGCCGCCGTGGGAGGCCCCCCTGCCGGGAGGCGGGGCTTCAGCGTGGGCTCCCAGCTTGACCCCTGGAGTGCAGCTTGGCTGCCGTCTCTAAACTTGGGCCGTCGTCGCCGCCGCCTCCCCCGGGGAGGGGGGGGATGCCTCAGGGTCACTGCCCGCTGCCTGCAGGTGAGGCCGTTGCGAGGGAGGTACCCCTGCCCGTAGTGCTGCTTGCAGAGCTGGCCCTTTGCCCTCGGCCCCATGGTGACCCGGAGCCGTTTCGATGTCTGGCCGCGAGCAGCCACCAGCGCGGGGGGTGGGGGAGGGAGGGAAGTACGGAGGCCGGGAGGGAGCGGGCGGCGGACGAGCTAGCTACATCCGGGGTCTGCGGGAGCAGGGCCGGGCCGGGAAAGGCTAGTCAGATCGGGTTTTTAAAAGACTTCTGGGATCTTCGTAATAAGTTAGCCGCCCGTTACTCTGCACGCCCCCTGCATCGGAGCACACCGGGAGTTCCTTTTTCTGTGTTTCCTCACAATGAGAAGTGACCTGGGGAGAGAGAGGTAGTGAGCTCCCCACCGCCAGGGTCCCTTGGCTGGGTGACCACTTCGTGGGGTAAGGTAGAGGGGGTTCCCACTTCGGGTAGCGGGTCGGTGGTCCTTGAGGTTCCTTCCAGCTGTAAAGGTTGTGTGAGCGAGCGATTTGAAGTCCGGACTTTAGCGTTTCCCCCGCTTGAAAATGCCTTCCGTCGGGTGCGGCTGACGCCGGTGCCTGGGTCCCCCTCAGCGGCTGGCCGCCGTGTTGTGGTTGTCCTTAAGTTTCTGTGTGCTTCGGACAGGACGGGCTCTCCGGACTTGCGGGTCCTGAACTGCGAGATGTTGAAGCTCTGTGCACTCTTCGGAGAAAAAAAAATCAGGCTTTTCCCAGGAAGCGTGTTTTTAAGTATGGGAAAGCCAAATGCCTCCAAAAAAAATAAAAGGCCCTGTGGATAACTTACACACTTTTGTTCAGCAGTAGTGTGTTCGGTTTTATTGGCTTTTGTATTCCAGAAAACCAAGCAGTTTTACTCTGATTTGAAATACTACTTTGAAATTTTCACTTCAGGACTCCATAAATGAGAACTACCCACCTCTTGCAGTAGATATGGTTGAACTGTACTACTTGTATGGGCACTCAATAAGTGCTTGTTAAATGACCCTTTTTTCCCCCTGTATCCAATAGTTGTATCCTGTTTTGTTGTTCAGTCGTGTCCAGCTCCTCGTGGTCTCGTGGGCCATCGAAGGCCAGGCCCTTCTGTCCTCAGTATCTCTTGAAGTGTGTCCAAGCTCATGCACATTGCTTCCGTGACACTCCGTCCATTTCTTCCGAGTCCTGCCTTCTCATTATGTGTTCAGAGTATTTAAGCTTCAGCTTCAGTATTTATCCATTCAATGAATAGTCTTAATTAATTTCTTTAAGTATTGACTGATTTGATCTCCTTGCTGACCAGGGGAATCTCAAAAGTCTTCTCCAGCACCACAATTCAAAAGTGTTGATCCTACAGTGCTGAGCTTGTAGTCCAACTCTGACTTCTTATAAAGACATTCTATCTAACAACCTATGAAAAGCCACAAATGAATCAGTTGCCACAAATGAATTGGCAGCAGTTTGACAGTAAAGTTAATTAGGGACAGCTAGGTGGTGCAGTGGATAGAACTCCTGCCTTGGAGTGACCCTGGGCAAGTCACTTAACCCCAATTGCTTCACCAAAAAAATAAAATTAAATTAATTTTTGGTGTAGGTTTTTAGCTCCAACAGAAAAAATAATGACAATGAGCATTTATATCACTAGCTTGCCAAGCTTTTTATGCGTGTTCTCATCTGATTCTCACAACAGCCTTATGAGGTAGGTGAGATTCCATTTTACCAGTAAGGAAACAAATTGAGTAAGTGACTTGGCCAGAATCATTCAAGTGTTTGAGGCAGGATTTGAACTCGGGTCTTCCTAACTCCCAAGTCTAACACTGTCCACTCTCTTGCTTGGTCTCAGGTAGCACTTCAAAGTTCAAAAAACAATTTTAATACCTTATCTCCTTTAGGCCCCTGTGAGATAGATAGTATAGGGGCAGCTAGGTGGCACAGTGGATAGAGTACCGACCCTGGAGTCAGGAGGACCTGAGTTCAGATCCTCAAATCCGGACTCAAGACATATAACCCTAGCTGTGTGACTCTGGGCAAGTCACTTAACCCCAATTGCCTTGCCTGAAAAAAAAAAAAAAGAGAGATAGTATAGATATCATTAATCCCCATTTTAAATGTGACTGAGGCAGTAACTTGCCCATGGTCACACAGCTAGAAGACAGAAATACATCAGTACAATAAATGTATTTTTTTAAGTCATAACTTAATTGTAACTTAATATTCATGTTTATAGTTTTCTTATTTTGGGAGAAAAGACAAAGCCTTCCATAAATATATTTTCCTTCCTTTTCAGGTGATTTATACTTTAATGTACTACAGGTTCTGTACTACGGATGGGAACTATCAGGGTTTATAATGTCAAAAACTTCTCTTAGACGAAAGGTAGCTTCCACAAAGGTATGAAGCATTATTGAAAATAAACATAACGGATTACAAATAAAGTCTAATATAGGAATGGCTGTAATTCAGCTCATCTCACAAAGTACAGAAGCGACTTAAAATGAGAACATGTAGGTTGTTATTAGCTATATAGCAGAGCCAATGCTTAGTCCTGTTGCCTTATTCTGCCTTATTCCACATCTCAGGGGTTAGGTGCACAGTGCCCCTATGATTTGGAAAATGTATGTAAAATTTTGGGGCCCTCCCTTTGTACCAGAGAAGAAGTCTGAATTTTTTTCTTTTTTTTTTTTATGGAGTGTTTATAGTACCTTATTGTAAAATTTGGGTCAAGTATTTTGTCATAGGCCTGTGTCTTAGGCTTCTGCAGAACTCCCTAAAAATTCCCATTTAATTTCTTATGGTGACCCTCAATATATTGAAACCAAGATGAGGAAAGTCACTGTGTAGAAGAGATAAAACTACTTTGGCTTTAAGTTTGAATAACATGGCAAGCCATCAGAGGACTGAGGTAGAGCTGTTGAAATTCCTAGTTATCTTTCTAGGTTTAGTGTTAGCTCTTAACTTCTCCACTGACTCTAATTTTAAGTAAATAATTTAAATATTTCCTATAAGATGGAAGTTAAAATTCTGTATTTTATGTTAATTAGAGAATCAATAATAAATAAAATACTTTTTAAAGGAAACTTGATTTACTAATTCCTTTTAGCCAGTGTTTAATACAAAGTGCTGCATGTAAGAGGCAAACAATTTGGACAGATTATTCAGAGGTGGCAAGGGGGCTGAATTTTGATAGATTGTTCTACACTTAAAAGTATTGGTGACTAGTAACCATTGTGATTAGGTTGTTAAAAAATCCATCCTAAAAATTTTAGTTATTGAAATAATCATGTTGAGTTTACAAGTTGAACTCTCTTACTGTTGATTTCTAAGTGTTTGTTATACAAATAATTACAGAAAAGAGAACTAAAGGAGGCAAATGTATACATTTAATTTTTGTCTTTGTTTTTCCAGCACAATGCCTGGCACGTAATAGGAACTAACTGCTTGTTGGATTAGTTGTTTTGACATTTCATTTATTAGGGGTAAATCTCAGTTTTCCTTAAACTCTTGCCTCTTTTTAATTTACTCAAATATTAGATGTTCTGTACAGTGAAGAGGCATATCAGGCTATAATTACAAAATGTGTAAACTGGTAAATGTTTATTCTCATTCACAAAAGTTTAAAGGTAATATAGCTTGTTGAAATGATACTACTGTAGTATGATGTCAGCTACAGAATTTTTATTTGCATCACCATTATTGCTAGTTTGAATTTTTATGTGTAAAATAAAGATGGTACCACAAACATAAGTTATAACTGCAAAAAAGCCACCTTATTTCAATTATTGTGGGTAAATATGTTGCAAGTCAGTATTGTAAATGTGTGATTGTTAAAGTTCTAGAAACTTACATACTATCTTAGGGATGGGGGAAGGCGAAAGGGAAAATATTATATAATCATACTATTTACATTGATTTTTTTTTCTCCCTAGATAACCAACTGGGTAGAGCCTTCATTTGATGATTTTGTTGGGAACACAGACATCTCTTCTGCTTTTACAACTGCATCTCTGGGAGTAAATAATTTTCATCAGAGAAGAAAAGATTTGTCTTCCACATTAGAAAGTAGCAAGTTTCTAGCTAGAAAAAAAGGAAAATCATCTTCCTCAAAACAGAGTAGTGTTGAAGCAAATTTAAGTGAAAATCTTTCTGAAAATGAGCCATGGGTAGATAAATACAAACCAGAAACTCAGGTACAAAATCATCTCATTATTTTTAGGCAGTAAAATTTAACAGGGAACTAAAAATTACAATTGAAGAGATTATGGAAGCATTTTCACAATCAAATTTGTTTTTTTAAAGTAAATCCTTCTAAATGACCTACAAAATGTAAGGGTTTTGCTTATCTAATTTTTTTCTTACACTGAGATCTGTATCTCTCTTTTTTTTTTTCAAATAGTTATTCCTTAGTACATGTTCCTTAGTGCTTTTCATGAATCTTGATTTAGCTCAAATGTGGAATTTATCCAAGCCATAAAAAGAAATAATTTTTCCCCCTCTTCCCTCACCCAACTCAGTTTTAATTTTAACAACTTTTGTGATGAGTTGAAAGGAAAAAAAAACCCTAAATTCATTTCTGTGATAAATTTTCCATTATGAAATATTTTAAAGCATTATGACTTAATAACATCAGCAGACCAGTGAAGCTATAAGCTCCATCTGGTGGCATCTGCAAATCCTTCTTGTGCTTTTTTCACAGGATTATTGCCTTTATATTAACTATCAGTTAACTGACCTTTCTGAATCTTCTGTACATTTTCTTTTTAAAAATCTAAGTTGGGTGTTGAGTACCCCTTGTGTGTCTACAGTGGTCTGTGGACAAATTCCATTTTTCCTCCCCATTAGAATTGTTTACCTTTTATGTTTTTAAATTTACATTCTTGAGATCTCATCTTCTTAGGTTGACTTCCGCTGAATTTAAAACTCCATGGGATCTTACCTGTATTTCTTCTGAGCTCTTTAAAATCTGCTTTTCAAAATCTAGGGTGCATTTCAGATTATATCTGTGTTTCTTCTTCTTTATCACAAACTCTAAGTTTGAAGGCTCATTTCTTCCCCAAGGTGCCCATGATTCAACTCAAACCATCAATTCCAGAAAAGTATATCCTTCTTTTTGAAGGATGGCATTATCACTAAGGAAAATCAAGAAGTTCTTAGTTGCTCTACTTTTGGCAGAGAAACTCCAGCAAATGTATAGTTAATTAATGTCCCTCCATGAATATATTGTATCATGCCTCTGTGGCAGATCTGATCTCTTCTCTAAATTCTTCCTTTATTTCTCCTCTCTGTCCAGGTTCTCTGTAGTATGCTGCAATGATGAATATTATTTCTCTCTCCTTTGACCTTCAGATATTCTCTATCATGCTTCCCTTCTCTGGTTTTTCGATTTCCTCACATGAATATAACATTTTAAAAAAAAATTTAATGGCTTTAAGTTTTATTTGTTTAACAACATTTACTTTTCTCTCGATACTCCCCACCACTGGAGAAAAAAAAACCAAAAAACTTGTAACAGATACACGTAATCAAATCTATCTCATTCTGTATCTTAAGTCCACTACCTCTCTTTCAGGGCATATGTAGCATTCTTCATTACTGCTCTGGTAGAATTGTCTTTGTTTAGATCAGAGTTAAATGTTTCAAAAGTTGTTTGTTTTCACAGTGTTATCATGGTATAAATTGTTCTCCTGATTCTGCTACTGATTTCAGTCTTCATCAGTACATGCAAGACATCCCAGGTTTCTCTGAAATTGTCCCTTTGGTCATTTCTTATGGCAGAATATACATTCATATACAGAATACGGTATATTCATATGCCATAATTTGTTCAACCATTCTACAAGTATGCCTATTCCCATGAGTATACCTCCTTAATTCCTAACCTATTCCCTAAACCCTATTCCCAACCTCTTTTTCTTTTGAATAAAGTGTTCTTATTTGGACCCATAGTCTAGTCTTCTGGTTTATTTCACTAAGTATCAGTGATACCTATTAGATCAAATTCCTTGAATCCTATAGGACCTTTCATTTCTCTCATTTGTTTGCCTGAATCTTGGGCATTTGTGTATAGAAACCTGACACCATGAGTTTTAGAACTGATTATTCTAGATTTTTGTCTTCTATGAATTTGTGTGTCCCAACTCTATTTTTTCTTCCATGTGGCTACACTCTATAGTACCTATCTTGTGTTTTGTTTTGGGGGGGTTTTTTTGGCTAGACGGTGGGGTTAAGTGACTTGCCCAGAGTCACACAGCTAGTAAGTGTTATGTATCTGAATTCAGATTTGAACTCAGGTCCTCGACTTCAGGGCTGGTGCTCTATCCACTGTGCCACCTAGCTGCCCCTGTAGTACCTATCTTGGGGAATGGACATAGACATTCTCCATCTCCTATCAGCTTAAAATCCTTTAGATGCTATTTGTAAGATTCCTAAAAATTCTTACTAGCCTCTCTTAGGTGTACTCCAACGCTATATTGTAAGTAATGGTCCAGAATTCTGAAGCCTATTCTCAAATACCAACCTTATATCTTTCTACCATTAGTTTATTGAGCAGTTTATTACTAGACTATTTCATTATCTGTTTAGCATTAGTACTATTCAAGTTTTTTTCCTTTAACTTTGAAGTGTTCAGTACATACACTACCTACCATAGTAGTTTTGAGGAAAGTGTAAAAATTTCAAGCACCATATAAATGTGAGTTATTTATTACCTTTAGATCAAAATATATTTTGACAATTCTTAAACTTTTATTTTTCATGCTAGAGTGAACTTGCTGTTCATAAGAAGAAAGTTGAAGAACTTGAAACCTGGTTAAAAGCTCATGTTTTTGAGAAGCAACCAAAATTGGTAACTAAAAATTAGTCATAATCTCATTTTAAATGCTTTATAAATGTTAAACTGCTTTGCAGTTTGTAGTCAGAAGTTAAATATATAGTTATTTCAGAGCTGGGGAATCAATAAGAATTCAAGTACCTACTTTGTCCCAGGCCCCACCCTAGATCTGCAGAGACTGAGACAAGAATGAAATAGTCCCTGCCCTCAAGGAGTTTACTTTCTACCTCGAGAGACCACTGGTGTTTATAAGTATATACAAACTAATTACAAAATAATTTGGTGTTATCTGAAGACTGTGGTGTCAAACTAAAATAGAAACATCCCTGTGGGACACATAGCGACTTAGAAAACCACAAATTAATATCATTTGTGTTCTATTGCATTTTTATTTATTTTGTTAAACATTTCCCAGTTACATTTTAATCTGGTTTGGATTTCACTTGGGATTTTTGTGGGCCATTTCTGGCCAAGTTTGACCCCCCTGATATAAGAACAAGAAGGTTAGTTTACTTGGGCTGTATAGTATGTGAAGGAGCATAATGTCTGATAAGGCAGCAGGGTGGGGCCATGTTGTGAAGGGTTTTGAAAGCCAGGATTCTATATTTGATCCTAGTAGCAATAGAGAGCTACAGGAGTTTATCATGTAGGAGAATAACATGGTTGTTTTTAGGAACATCACTTTGTTAGCTCTGTGATGGATGGATTGGAGGATTGAAGTAAGGTTTAGACTTGAAGCAGGAAGACCAATTAGGACAGTTGTATATTCTGTAATCTAAGAGAGAGCTAATAAGGGTCTGAAATACAGCTGTGACTGTGAGTAGAGAGAAAGGAGTCTTTGTGGGTTGAGGGAGAGTGACGAATGGAGGATTACACCAAGTTTGCAAACCTATTCCCTCAACAGAAATAAAATGGGTGGCCCAAGTTTAGGGTCCTGTAATTTCACTGTGTTAGCATATACAAGTGATAGATAATTCTGTCTGCTAGTAAGAACACAGATTCCTAAGATAAGAGAATAGGTAGGTGTAGCCTTTCCTGAGTCATGACTTAGTTGATGGCGGTTGTTCCTCCAGGAGTATCTGTCTGTTGAGGGAGAGACACAATTCACTCCAGGCATAGGCGTCCCCAGCTCTTGGTTAAGTGACACTTCCACCGTCATGTTCTAATGGGACTACGTTGCAAGGAACTGATTAAAAGTGGGAGAAAAGTCTCATAGAGGATTGATGTCTTCAGACTGCTCTGGGGTTGTTTAATAAAATTCAAGAAGTTTCTATTACACTAAAAGACTTGCCCTTTATTTTGTCAGCTAGCATAATAGAAAAATTCTACTATTATGTTAATATAGAGAAGAACGAAGTAAAATTAAAGCAATTGTTACCTGGCATATTTCATCAGTATTTTTTCATTTTTAATATGTAATATTTGTCTGTTGTAGGGTGGATCTATTCTAATAATTACAGGTCCTCCTGGATGTGGAAAAACAGCAACTCTACAAATACTAGTTAAGGAGCTGGGTATTGAGGTGCAAGAATGGATTAACCCTGTTTTTCTAGATTCCAGAAAACATGATATGAAGGATGGATTTAATCATGGTGAGATTAATTTTGTGTTGTTTTTATTTTGTTTTGGTGTTTTGTTTTTTTTTTAGGCCATTGGGGTTAAGTGATTTGCCCAGGGTCACACAGCCAGTAAGTGGGAAGTGTTTGGTTTGAGGCTGGATTTGAACTCAGGTCCTCCTGACTTCAGGGCCTTGCTCTCTCCACTTTACTGCCCCCTTTTTGTTTTTGTTTTTGAGATTAATTTTATTTTTGAAGGGAGAGGGACACTTCTGTGTTGAAAGCAGATGGGAAGTTCATCCTGTATCTCATAGTCTCTGGGTGTTGCTACTGGATAAAAATTTCCTTGGGTGTGAAGTTAGGAGTTGTCACCAAAGCTAGGCTCACACTCCTCTTCGGAACCCAAAGAGGGTTGAGTTTAGAGTCAGAGGATGGGGGCTTGGGGTGTGGTCAGATCTTGGATTTACTACTGACTGACTACCTGTGGGACCTTGACTGCTCTCTGGACCTTAGTTTTCCTCATGTGAAAAAGAGGGAGATGAATGAGATGGTCTTTGAGGTTTCTTCCAACTCTAAATCAGTTATTTTCCAAACACATTCAGGGTCATAGTAGTGGCCAGGGTGAGCTACAGTTGTACTTTCCTTTCTCTCAGACTATTTGATCATGGCATTTAATGTGAGTAACATGATAAGAGAGGATGGAGTATTCCATGATACTAATAGGATTATTTTAAATATTTTTAAAATATCTAGAAATCTACCTGTATTAACTCTTCTATTTATTATGGGTAGGATTTTTTTCAGGCTTTTATTTTTTTAAATTAGCAAAAACAGTCTTCCCCTCATTACCTATATGAATAGGTGACTAGAAAGACAAATGGGGGGGGGGTCAGGGGTTGGGGGGGTGGAATTAAGTCCAGCTAAAGTCCTTAGATGTACTTGAGGATCTTAGGAGAAGCAATACTCAAAGATTGTTCCTTAAAATCTTAGAGCTAAAAGGAACCTTGAAAGTCATTTACTCTAACTCCCTCCTCATATTACAAGGGTAAAGACTGAAATCCACAGAATTTAAGTGATTTTTTTTCCAAGGACATAGCTAAGTAGTACAGCAGAAGCTAGGATTCATAGTAAATGTCTTTTGACAGCCATTTACCACTTGAATAACTGTCCTAAACAAAAGACATAGATCATTAGTGTGTTTCCTGACTTGTTGACAAGAAAAATGCTTCCTTTTCAGAATCAAGTTTCTATATGGTTCCCAGTCAGTCTCAGATGACTATTTTTCAAGAGTTTCTGTTGAGAGCAAATAAATATAACAAACTACAGATGCTTGGTGATAGTCTGCACACTGATAAGAAGATTATTTTGGTTGAGGTAAAAAAAATTTTTTGAAAAGCTATACCTACCCCCCAATAGTGATGGACATTGTCATGTTATTAAATAGAAATATTCAAATATAACAGCTTAGGCTTATATCATACTAGGAGTCCCAAGCAATTTGTCATTGATGCAGGATTAAGAAACACAAATGTCTTAATTGTAAGATTAGATAAATTTTAGCATAGGAAGACATAAAGTGCATTTTTAACAGTTTACTGTTAGATTATCAGTAAAAATAGTTTATCAACCACCTAGTTTAGTAACTTTCCATAAATAGCAGTTTATAAATGAGATTCCTATTGACTAATGGATACTTTAGTAAGTTATCCTGCATTCTCCTAGTTCTTTTGAAAAATAAATTGGAACAAAAAAGTTGAAGTAAGTTGGAGAGAGGCTTTATTCGGCAATGTGTCTAGTTATAAAAAGTATGTCTGCAATTAGAATTGGATTAATTTTTATGCTGTGCTTTTCATTAGGATATGCCTAATCAATTTTTTAGAGATCCGAGTACTTTACATGAAATACTAAGGTAAGTTTCAGTGATGTTTACTAGAGCTCCAAATTAAATAATTGACACAATAATTATTATGTCTAACTTTTGCTGCCTATCATTTTAGGAGATTTGTGCAGCTAGGGCGATGTTCTCTTGTATTTATAATCTCTGATAGTCTCAGTGGAGACAGTAGTCAGAGATTACTGTTCCCCAAAGAAATTCAAGAAGAGTGTTCTATATCAAACATTAGGTAAGATGATTTCTTTGCACCTCCTGTAGCATTCATAGAAAGATTATATCTTTAGAATGTCATTAACTACTATTTTTCTTTATAAACTTCTGATAGTTTCAACCCTGTGGCACCAACAATTATGATGAAAGTTCTTAGCAGAATAGCAGCATTAGAAGCTAATATGGTAAGTTTCAAACATTGATCACATTTATGTAGTAATATCATTTATGTCCATTATATTAATTGTACTATGAATTCAGCACTTGCTTTTAAGTAATTTAGAATTCAGTAGTTTGGCTTCACTACTAACACACTCTGTGAACATAGAAAGTCACTTAACTACTCATTTTATCTTCCATTAAATAGATTTACTAACCCAGCTATCTATCAATAAAACTGTCAGAAATCTAGACATTGGACATTAGTTGATAAACTGTCATAACATAGCATATAATCTCTTGTATACAGGCCTGTCAGTGTAACCAAGACATTTTTTTTTCTATTAAACATATTTTCACATTAGTGATGTTGCAAGTAAGAATTAGAACCAATAGGAGGAACCACCAGAAAGAGGAAACAAAACACAACAGAAGAAAAAAATAGCAAATAGTATTCTTCGATCTGCATTCACACTCTGTAGTTCTTTCTTTGGATATGGATAGCAATTTCCATCATGAGACCTTTGGAGACGTCTTAGATCCTTGCAGTGCTGAGAAGGGCTAAGTCTATCCACATTAGTCATCATGTAGTTGTTTTTACAAACTACTACACTATGTAGTACATTGTTTTTGTGTACATTGTTCTCTTGGTTCTGCTCACTTCAGTTAACATCAGTTCATATAAGTAGGAAGTTCATTTTAAGAGAGAGTAAACAACCAGGAGAATCAGGAGAAGCCTCTTTTTAGAAGGATACTAACTGTACTATGCTCAGAGGAAACTCAGGATTCCAAGGGGCAGAGATGATGAGTATGTTCCAGGCTTGGGAAAAACCACTTGAACCAATTACAGAGGCAAAAGATGAAATGTTTCGTACAGAAGAGCTAACAGGGCATTAACTCCATGAAATAAAACTGGATAGGAGTAGATGAGAGCTACAGAATAAATGGGTTTCAATGGCAGGATGAGGATTCTGTCATTTAGGCTTTAAGGAGTTATTGAAGATTTTGGAGTTGGGAAATGTCATGGTCACATATGTGTATCAGGAATATCGGTTTGGCAACTGAGTAGGATAGATTGGGAGAAGGAATACTGGAATACAAGAGATCAGTTGGGTAGCTATTGCCCCAGTGAGAAGTGATGGCCCGAACTAGAGTGGTAACTGGTATTGAGAGCAGAGAACAACATGAGAGGTTTTGTGAAGGTGGCATCAACAATATTTGGAAACTTAATTGGACATGGGGAATGAAGAACAGTGAAAAGTTGCAGATAACCCCAAGGTTACAAACTAGTAGTGCCCCAACAGAAATAGAGGAGTTCAGAAGAAGGCAAGACAGATTTATGGAAAATAATGTAAGTTCCATTTTTTAACATGGTAAACTCAAGATGCCTTTTGGACATTGACATGAATGACCAGCAGGCAATTGGTAAAGTTACGGCAGAACCTTCTTATGAAGTTGTGTTGGGAAGCATTATATAAGATAGAAAAGCTATACTATCCATCCTCCCTGTAGCAACACCTGCTTTGCCCAACCAGAATTAATCTCTCCTTTCTTTGAACTCTGATTGATGGAGTCGAGGACTCACCAGTCAGTAGAGGTTAGAGGCATCTCCAGAACGGAGAGGCAAGTACTTGGTCAGGAACTATGAATAATATTTGAATGTGAGAGAAATTTATTCTTGTCTCTTACTATTTATGACTAGAGTTCTTAGACTATAAAAGTTTATACTTTAGTGACTTCTTAGTACTGAGAATAGATAAATTTGTTGAAAACTTTAGCGTAAGGAATTACTAATATCTATTTATTATTCCATATAATAGTAATAGGATAGTTTTAAAATAGCATGGCAGTAAGATAAATGTAATTCATACTCTAATTTATGTGAAATTCAATGTGAACATAGTAGGTGACTGCTGTGTTCGGTGCAGTACTCGTGTAATTGACTGTAAAGCACTGTTGTATTTTCACTTGAATGATAGTTTGGCAGTTAATCCTGTAAGACGGAAGTCTTCTCTAGTTCACAAAATAATGATGGGTTTTCACTTTCTCACTTAAGGGTGGAGGACAAATTGTTGTCTCTGACAAGCCGTCTTTAGAGTTGCTTTGTAAAGGATGTTCTGGTGATATAAGAAGTGCAATAAATAGTCTCCAGTTTTCTTCTTTTAAAGGTAAATAACAGGAGATCAATCTGTTTTGTTTTATGTAAGTGAAGATGGTATTAGTCAATAATGGAGTGAAATAAGGTCATAAAATATTTGTAGCAATTTAAAATGGTATTATTTAGTCCCTAAACAACTGAAATTTAGCCAAAAGTTTTTTCTTTTAAAGAATGGAAATATCCAGTGTGCAGCTACAATGCAAGATTAAGGGAGTGTTTGTGTGCATGTGCACAAGGTAGTCATGTGAGTAGCCTTTTTACCTGGTGCCAGACCTCATTTGCTTTGCTGAGTTTACCGCCAAGCTCTCTTGCCATTTCAAGGACCACTTCCTGTAGGTGCTGTCAGACCATACTTTGGTGGAGCAGTGTATTAATTTTTCTATACATCATTTTATGAATTAAATGAAATCATTATTTTATTTAAGTCTATATTTTTATAATGATATATTTTATTATAATTTATTCTATTGAATTCTTTTTCATGAATTTAAGAAATGCTAATGGCTTTGAATTGTTGGGGGAAAAATTATACATACTAGTGTATTTTTATACCAGTATATTTCATACATACTAGTAAAACAAAGTTGGATTGAATTCATCTCTGCTGCACATGATCATCAAGCAATAATTTGGTATTTGCAAAGTAAAATTATATCTTGGCTTTCTTACCGTAAAACATAGTTCTTTCTCACCCTGTACCATTTGGAAAACTTTTAAAGTCTTCAAAAATATATTGGAAAAGATCCTAGAACTCTACACATTGAACTTTTGGGGGTTTTTTGTTGTTGTTTTTCAATACTATCCAGCGAGAGACATCCCAACATAAATCTGATTCTTTTGTATGAAGACTTTCTACACTTTTAGAGAAATAGGAGCGTGAGTCTAGCACATATACACAGGGAAAATATAAGGAAAAAAAAAAAGAAAAGAAAGGTCTGGGGATAAAAAATATCTTTATAAGATATTTATATAAGAAAGATGTCTTTATAAGAGTTAACTACACATGGGTTGAAGGCATCCTTACTGAAGGTATTAGAAGGAAATGGGCATTGATATTTTATAGTCAAACATATCTTACAAATTATACAATTGAAAATACAAGACCCTACTGACCTTATTTTTCGATGACCAATAAGAAGCATTTGATTTTGTAGAGAAAAATGCCACCTTAATTTAGAGGTCTACATTTTTCTCTAAGGATATCTAAGGATACCTCAAAAAGTTTTCTACATTATTTTTTGTTGTCATTTTCATTGATTAAATTTTCTGTTGTTTCTGTGGTTTGTACTTTGACTCACAAAATCTTTAGGATTGAGTTATTTAGTTTCTAATTAAATTTTAATCCTTTCTTCAAAAGTCACTTATTGAATATAACTTTATTTTGTTGTGGTCAATAAAAATATGTTCAATATTTAAAAAAAATGCCACCTTAAAGACTGGTCTACAATAAAGTATAAGTTGAAAGAATACATAACTTTTGGGTGATCCATGCAGGATGATCCAAATGGAAGAGAGGTCCCCAGTAGGAAGTGAGGTCCTTCAGATGCTTCTGTTTGCAGATGATATTGTACTGATTATATTAATCTACACTGTAGAGCCACCTTAGTGAGAGACTAAATCCCTTAAGAGAATCCAGCCGGGGCAGCTAGGTGGTGAAGTGGATAGAGCACCGACCCTGGATTCAGGAGGACCTGAGTTCAAATCCGGCCTCAGACACATAACACTTACTAGCTGTGTGACCCCGGGGCAAGTCACTTAACCCCATTGCCTAGCCAAAAAAAAAAAAAGAGAGAGAGAAAATCCAATCTAACTCTGCATATAGGAAAAGCTGGGTAAGGAAAGGACGCCTTTTATCCAGAAACTATTATATTATAGATTGCCTTTAGTCATTTATACTGTACTTTCAGTGCCCTAGACTTTTTCCAGGGGCGTAGGGAATGGGGAATCTTCAACATCAGCATTTTTCTGGTGATACTTTGGCTGAGGGTCATGAAATATCAGTCTCCAAAAAATTGGGGGCCACCCAAAGGGCAGTAGAAAAGTGCATGGTGGGCATGAGTAGGCTGCAGTGTATTACCTACAAAGAAATGTACAGAAGAAGTAAGATCAAGAGAAGTATATGACCAGAAAAGGAAATGGATTATTCTTTTTTTTCTTTTTTTTTTAAATTTTATTAATTTATTTTGATTTATCAACAATCACTTCCATATGCTTTTGAGTTGAAAATTTTTCTCCCCCTTCCTCCCCCCCACCCTCCCCAAGACAGCACACAATCTGATATAGGCTTTACATTTACATACCCATGAAACATATTTTCACATTAGTGAAGTTGTAAGTAAAAATTAAAACCAATAGAAGGAACCATCAGAAAGATGAAACAAAACTCAACAGAAGATAAAAATAAGTGATAGCGATTCGACTTCCATAGTTCTTTCTTTGGATGTTTTTCCATCCCGAGGTCTCTGGAGATGTCTCAGATCCTCGTAATGCTGAGAAGGGTTCAGTTTAACAATCTTAGTCGTTGCATAATGTGGCTGTTATTGTGTACAAAGTCCTCTTGGTTCTGCTCACTTCACTCAGCATCAGACAATATAAGTCTTTCCAGGTTTTTCTGAAGTCAGCCTGTTCATCATTTCTTATAGTACAATAGTATTCCATCACATTTATATACCACAACTTGCTCAGCCATTCCCCAATTGATGGGCATCCTCTCAATTTCCAATTCTTTGCCGCCACAAAAAGAGCTGCTATGAATATTTTTGTACATGTGGGTCCTTTTCCCATTTGTTTGATCTCTTTGGGATATAGCCCTAGAAGTGCTATTGCTGGATCAAAGGGTATGCACATTTTTGTAGCCCTTTGGGCATAGTTCCAAATTGTTCTCCAAAATGGTTGGATCATTTCACAACTCCACCAACAATGCATTTGTGTTCCAGTTTTCCCGCATCTTCTCCAACATTTATCATGAAATAGATTATTCTTGAAGCAAGAGCTAAGAATATCCATAGTACAACCTATGTGCTCCATTGTTGTCCATTCAACATCAAGAGATCTAGAAAATCCCTAGCTGATGATTTGGGGGATGATATAGACAAGAGTTCTTTAGATATGTTGTATGGAGGGAATACTCACATTGATGACTTAGTTTGTGTTCATTTTCTTATTTTTTATTGAAATGTTATCAGCTGTAATTGAGTATCATTTCTGCATGTTTCAGTTTTTTTTTTTGATTACTTCATTGCAGGTAATTCAGGGGAGACCAGTTTTTGGTCAAGGAAAAAAGGGATATCTTCATTAAAATCAGATACTTTGTTGTCAAGAGCAAAGCAGAAAAAAAGACCTGATAGTTCTTTGGAAAATCAAGAAATCCAGGCAATTGGTGGCAAAGATGCCTCTCTCTTTCTCTTCAGAGCTTTGGGAAAGATATTATATTGTAAAAGTAAGTAAGTAAGGAGCCATTATCCTTTGGTATTTGAAATGCATGAATGTTTCTTTAATAAAATGCTAGGTTTATATAAGCATAATACATTACAGTGGCATTTAGATGAACTTGTTAGTCTGTCAAGAAGAAAGGACAGACATGAACTAACTGAGGTTTCATTTGTTTATGCAACAAACATTTATTAATGTTAGCTATAAAAAATAATTTGCTTTCTGCAAAGGTAGTTAAACACTAACAGGTTCCTAGTGGATCATAAGACCTTTACTCCTAAAGCTCTTTGATAGTAAAATAGTCATCCGTTTAGGTAAGGTGGTTTTTGTTTAGCTACCTAAGCATTTTTAATGACAAATGGCTTGCTACCAGAGTCCTAGGTGTCATTTATTTTTAATGTTCTTATTCGACTGTTTTATATTCTTGTTTCATTCAGTGCCACCCAGTATTCACTGCCGTTTTTAATGTTCTTATTCAACTGTTTTATGCTCCTCTTTCATCCAGTGCCACCCAGTATTCACTGCCGTTTTTAATGTTCTTATTCGACTGTTTTATACTCCTCTTTCATCCTGTGCCACCCAGTATTCACTGCCCTTGTGCCACCTTTTGACTTTCCAAAGACTTACCACTTCAGAGCTCTGCATAGACTTGCCTTTCCCCACCTCCCATATTTCTTTCCTTCCCCTATGTCTCATTTTAGGGAAAATATCAATTTAAATATCTGGATAAAGTAATTGACAGTACAGTATAAATAATAGCTACAAGGAGATGACATTTATTTAAAAGTGCTTGTTTCTAAACTCTTATTAGATTACATTTGGTAGATATTCTGGAGCAGTGCCTCTTCTAAATGACCCTTGCCCATTCCATACTCCTCTTAACCTCCTCACTGTCTAACAGATGAACAGACATCTCCCCTCTAATCATGGGTTAGAGTTCTATCCTAAGCCCTCTTCTCTTTTCCCTCTGTATTACTTCACTTGGTAATCACATCAGCCCCCATTGGTTTAATTACCATCTCTATGCTGATTATTCTCAAATCTACCCATTCTACCCCAATCTCTCCGTACTGACCTCCAGTCTCACTTCTCCAACTGCCTTTCAGACATCTCAAACTAGAGATCCTGTAGACATCTTAAAACTCAGCATGTCCAAAATGGAACTCATCTTTCCTCCCAAAACTTTCCCCACCTCCTGCCTACTGTAGAGGCAGACCATCCTTCCAGTTCCTCAGGTTTCCAACCTAGGTGTTATCCTTGACCCCTCACTGTCTTTCACCTCTATATCTAGTCTGGTGCCAAGGACCTTTGATTTCACCTTTGTAACATCTTTTGAATACATCCTCTACTTTTCTCTGACACTGCCACCACTGTAGTGCAGGCCCTTATCACCTAACACCAAGACTACTGCAATATAGCCTGGTTTTTGTTTTGTTTTGTTTTTTTTGTTTTGGGTCTGCCTGCCTCAAATCTCTCGCCACTCCAGTCCATCCTCCATTCAACTACCAAAGTGATTTTCCTAAATCAGCATGTCTCCTCACTCCCACCCCCTCTAGTAAAACTCCATTGGATCCGTGTGGATCACAAAGTGCTCAGATAGGCATTCAAAGCTCTTTATAACCTCTCTCCTGCCTTTTAGTCTGATTGCACCCTAATCCTTGTCATGTACTCTTTGATCCAGTGGTACTGACCTCCTGGCTGTTCCATGAACAAGACACCCCATCTCTTAGCCCTGGACGTTTTCTCTGACTGTCCCCCATGACTGACACACTCTATCTCCACATCTCCACCTGTTGCCTTCACTGGCTTCCTTTAAGTCCCAACTAAAATTCCATCTTCCATAAGAAGCCATTCCCAGCCACTTTCCTTTAATGATACTTGCAAGGATGACTTAAAGAAAGGGTCAAAGCTGGCTGACCCTCGTAAGAGTAAGATGGCCTGATCATGGGGCCCCTGATGTGTGCCTGTGCTGTGTACTTTCATGCTAGTCTGGCTCCATGTCAATGCCCAGATAAAGGATGGATCTAATTGTCCATCTTTGTCCTTTTATGCTCTCTTATGAGAACCTGTCTCTGATCCCTAATTCTCAGCTTCTGCTTTAGACTTTCTGGTTTTTTTTAATTGTGGGAATAACTACTACCGTTTCTCACTTCTAGACTCTTTGATTTGAGCCTCACTTCATTATGACCCTGGGACGCAGTGGCCTCTGGGTCAGGGACCATCTGCCCTGCCATTGGTTCCCAAGGTCCATAGGACCCTGTTATCTCCCCTGCAACATTCCCTGCCAGAACCTAGGTACAACCTAGCCTTTCCATGATCTATGGACAGAAGTCTCCTTTCCGTGTTATTGTTATTACAGTTTGAGCTCCTTGAGATCAGGAACTGTCTCACTTTCCTGTTTGTATTTCCAGCACTTACCACAATACTTGACATATAATAAACACTTAAATGTTGCTCCATTATAATCCATCATTAGTAAATATCGAAATTATTTACAGGAACAATTCTAACGGAATTAGAATTTCCCCGATTACCTTCTCATTTGTCAGAATATGAGCGGGACACATTACTTGTTGAACCTGAGGTAATGGAACTTTGTGTAATTATTGATTTAAAATGAAAAATTATTGACTACTTCCTTTGTATTAGTATACTTACATATATATTTCTGTTGACTAGGAGGTTGTAGAAAAGTCACACATGCCTGGAGAGCTATTTAATTTATACCTTCATCAAAACTATGTAGATTTCTTCACTGAAATAGAGGATCTTGCAAGAGCCAGTGAATACATGAGTATTGCTGACATCTTCCGTGGTGACTGGAATGTAAGGCTGATGTTTTGTTTGATTGTTTCCTCACATATAGGAAAAAGTACAACAGGCCTTTGTTTTTATCATTTGTAGTAAAATGTTAGCACTGTCTAATGTAATTTTAAAATTTTTTCTCATTTCATTTGTAACAAATACAACAATAACACTTGAACCAGGAAAGCTGCATAGGCATTAAGTGATTGTTTTCTTTATACTTGACCAAGCTTTTTTTAGCATTTCAATTTTATATGAAGGAATTTCAGTAACTATTTTGAGGGATATCACTATAAAATGAAAACTAGGAAAAACTACTTTGGATGCTTTGAAGGGGTTCTTGAAGGTTTTTCTTTTTGATACTATAGAACTTAGAGAACTATTATTTAAATTCCATACACCCATACCATACCATATGCCCACAATAGTAATTGATCTTTTATATCATGAGTGTTTTTAGAAAGCCACTTTATATCCATTATCTCATTTAATTGCATATCTTTTCATTTCTTAGTCAAGGACTACACTCGGGGAGTACAGTGCATCTGTAGCTACAAGAGGTGTGATGCATTCCAACAAATCCAGAGGTTTTGCTTATTGCCACGGAGGAGGAGCAAGTTTTCGACCCTTGCACAAACCTCAGTGGTTTCTGATAAACAGAAAGGTAATATTGCAGTTACTGATAAAAAGTTGTTAAGACCCCCAGCTTACTTAGAAACAAGCTAAAACATAAGCAACCATTTTGAATATTGAATCCATTAGCTTTTAAGGTATTTGAAAAAAGAATATTAAAAAAAGTTGAGATCGTGTGCTTATTCTAGCTTATTCATTTAAATTCACTGCAATGCACTGCTAGACCCTAGGTAAATCTTGGTTTTATTTTGTATCTAACCTGTGATTTACCAGTATAGGTCTATACCTGTTCTTCCATTTACAGTCTTAGAGACCCCAGGGTTCTGACAGTCTCTTTGGCCTAAAAAGGCCCAGATTCCAGGCCTACCTCAGATACACTGGAGGAATGACAGACACTTGACCTCTCAGTGCCCTAAGAGAGACAATGATCAATTTATCAAGGAATCATTGTGGGCAGTGAGGTGGTACAATGGATAGAGCACTGGCCCTGAAGTCAGGAGGACCTGTGTTCAAATCCAGCCTCAGATGCAAAATATTCACTAGCTTTGTGACCCTGGGCAAGTGCTTAACCCCACTGCCTAGCCAAAATTTAAAAAAAGTATCAAGCAATCAGTGAACATTTATTTATTGAATACCTGCTCTATGCCAGGCACTGTGCTAGGCCTAAAGATCCAAATACAATGAATGAAACAATGCTACTCAAAAGAACTTGACATTCTGATGGGAAAGAAAGGAAGAGAAGACACCAGTGAACCAAAAATAAGTGTCAGATTCCTCAAGTAGCTTTTATGGGTGGGGATTTTTCTTGTACTCATATTAGTAAATACACAATTACCAAAGTAACCTCAAGAGGGGTAGAGTACTAATAACTGAAAGGATTGGCGAAAGGCCCTTGTTAGTAAGTGATATCTGAGCCACGTACTAGAGGAAGTTAGGGATTCTAAGAGGCAGTATTCACAGAAAAAGGTAAGGCTTAGAGTTGGCTGAACAAAAATGTAAGATCAGTAATTTTTTTTTTTTGGTTGAAAATTATACATGAAGGAGCCCCTCAGGAATTTCCATCTGATTTCTCTTTGTGAGCCACATAAGGAATTCTTGGAATACACCTGTCAATGCAACCATGTACCATAATTCAGAATGAATATTTCTTATGATTCAAGAAAATTCTTTGAATGCCAAGCTTAAAGAGAACTTTATATGTTAAATAAGATAATGTGTAAGTGGTACTTCATGGAGATATATCTTAAAACCCTGAAAGTTCTCATGTATGAGGGGCTATAAAGAAAATTAAGTATAACCTACTTAGCTTTGGGATCCAAGGTAATTTAGGTCATAGATTTATAAATAAAGTTTCCTTAATTTTATAAGGTTTTATTTTCCTAACTCAAGACTTTCTCTTGATACATGAAAAAGCCAAAGTTCCTATTCTTTAAGGCAATGCTGAGGCAGTTAATAGAAGAGTTAATTTGATAATCTAAGAAGTTTATTTTAAATGCTACAAGTTTTCCTTGGCAGAAATAAATTATTTTTATTTTTCTTCCTTTTATTTTCCTTTTGCTAAATAGTATCGAGAAAATTGCCTGGCAGCAAAGTCACTTTTTTCCAGTTTCTGCTTACCCCCTTTGTGCCTTCAAACACAGCTGTTGCCATACCTGGCTTTGCTAACAAATCCAATGAGAAATCAAGGTAATAACAATGGACCTAATGCATTGGTTATTTTTTTGCTTAACTATTCTGATTTGTTACAAGGGGTAGGGTGTTCAATTCTCGGGGTAGGGTAATATCCTAAAATGACTATGGTACAAAAAAGGGGAGCAGCTTATTAGTAAAACCTTTTAAACATGAAATCAAGGTCATAATGTAAATTTTAATTTTTCCCAAGAATGGTTTTTTAAAATAACATCTCACTATATTAATACATTTCTCAGTACTGTAGTAAACATGCCCATTGCTTAGTGTTAAATGAACCGTGAAGAACAGGGAGAGAATTCCACTCAAATTATTAGTGAGTTCTTAACCCCTTCTTTACAAATGTATATTTATAGCAGTACCTTACCCTTAAATGATAGCCTAGCCTTAAAAGCAATCTAGCTCCAGTTCAGTTAGAGATCATAATCTATGGAGGTTGATTCCAAGGTGCCTAGTTTAGTTCTGGGGGTGATCTGGAATTTGGGGTATATAGGAACCAGATCTGAAACTATACACTATAGTGTATGGGACCCCTAAATTAGCCTTAGAATCAAAACTGGTTTCCCAGTGGTCCTCTAAACTAGAAATGACTTAAAGTTGTTTCATACTGTAGCACATAATGCAGTGTTAGGCATCTGCAGTAAATTCTTTGTTATTCAGTTGACATTCCTGCATCCTCTGCATTGTGAATCTATACATTTGGGGCTGGAGCAGAACCCAGACATCCATGGCTAGAAGGACAGATAGTGGTTTTCTTTCTTCTTTCTTTTTTTTTTTAAGAGTAGTTTTTCTGAAAGCAGTCTTCTTGTGTTCTTTGGTGTCTTGTCATTACTTATGTTGTGTAAAGAAGGAAATCTAATTTCCAGAGGAGCAGTTTGAAAACTAAACAATGATGCTCTGAAGCAGAAGGCATTCTGCCTAGTATGTGGAATAAAGGGAGATTGAGACCAGGAAAACGTGCTGCCCAGAAAAGGGAAGCAGGAATCTCTGCCTGTACCAGGGGCAAAGACTAGTTGAGTTAACTGTAGTTTTAAGAATCTGTTGGGTAGATAAGACAGTGTACTGATAATTCATAAATCTTAATGTTTCTTAATTGTATCAAAAAGTGCTTATGTATATATATTAGGATTTTGTACCCTGTATATATATTTGATCTAGTTTGAAATTGCCTTTTTTCTTCTCCCTTTCCAGCTCAGATTGCTTTTATCCAGGATGTTGGAAGGCTTCCCCTAAGGAGATTTTTTGGAAGGTAACCAGAATTGTTGGGCAGTGTTCCCTGCCTTATTTCTGTTTTACTGTAGTGTATATTAGCAAACCCATCTAAACCAAGAAATACATTTTATCTGTCATATTCCAGGTCAGTGATGTTAATATCTGCAATTAGTCATAAGCTACCATGAGAAGCCACTATTAGTATTATATAAATTTCTTTTCCTTGCCAAATTGATTTAAGCATTTGGGATTTTAAGATTATTAGTAGTATCTATTATATTTAAAGTAAATACTTTTCAAATCATTAATAATTCTTTTTATCTTAAGCTCCCTGGGGAAGAGTCAAATTTCTCCCACTCTTCAGCTGATAAACAGCTGGAAATCAGCTTCCTGAAGCATTCAGTTGTTTGATTAGCAGTTGGTGTGTATAATCCACATCAAATTGAGATTTTACCAACAGTATGGCCACATTTTATCATGTTACCATTCATGTTTTGTTATGTTGGAGGGAAATGTTTCATTGAGGTAGATCAAAGGAAACTACTGCCTAAATAATTTCAAACACATTTAGGGTAGAAGGAGGAAGGAAGGGAGTAGTCTTCTCAATTATCTTAATTATAGCATAGTTCAAAGAACTATACTAGTCTGTTATTAATAGATGTGATGTAATTCTAACAGATTGAAAATGGAAGCTCTAATGGATAAGGATTCTGGAATGATAGACTCTGCTAGTGATGATGAGGCTAATTTTGATGGAGCACCACTTACAAAGCCACTTGTGCACATGGACAAAATCATAACTTCGGAGACTGATACAGAAGCATCGTTATTTCTTCCTTCAAGTCAGACTAGTGGAACAGATCTACCTGCCAGCCAGCCACAGCCTGCTACAGCTCAAGGATTCATGGAAGAAGAGGAGATCACAATAGAGGAATATGACAGTGAAGAAATGTAGCCAAATAATCTACCTGATGGTCACATGCTCTTCGACAGATTCATTTTAATTTTATTCAGTGAGGAATGAAGTTACTTGAATAAAGTTAATATGCTTTCAGTGCTATTGAAATGATTGTATTGTTAAAAGCCCACTTGTATGGCGTATAGTCTATACTTGCATAGTGTATATAGTACGTACACTTGTATTGCTATACAAGTCCATTTATGGGACCAACTATATCTTTAAAAGGAAAAAATATAAATTCAATCAGGCTTTAAACATTTAGCTTAAATCTGAACCTTTTTTAGTTAAAGGAGTATTGATAATCAAAAGACAAGTATTTTTATGGAAAAGTTATGAAGTTTTTGAAACAAAGCAATTGGTAAATAGTAAGACCTTTTAAGTTATTTTCAAATTTTTCCACTAGTATTTATTTAGTTCTATAGGTGGTGTACAGTGGAGAGGTCAACGTTTATGAGCAAGTTCGTGTGAAGGTTATGCTAAATATAAAAAATGTGAATTAATAATGCATAACTTGGGAATATTGTACATATAAATTGTAAAACTAAAGTAGTTCACCTGTAAACAAGATGTAAATAAACTTAGCCGTTACAATTTTCTTTGTTTTACCTGTCTATATTTTTATAAATGTTTAAAACATGAAAGCCTATGTTATGATTTTTCGATAAATTATGCAAATATCTACTTAAATGTATCAAATATTTTTAAACAAAAACATTAAATGCTTTTTATTTCATCAATATTTACGATTTCGCTGGCACTGACTTCTCACGTATTTCGTTAAGGCAACGTGAACTTTTCCCAGTTTTGAAAAGCTGTAAACAAATGTGGGGGAAAGGAGCCGAACCAAACGCCCTGCTCTGTGCCCGTCCCTGGGCGGTTTCGGGGGTGGGGGGGGAGTCAACCTACTGGGCGGGCCCTCACCCCCGGCCGGAATGGAGTGAGCGAGCCCCCCTCCCCCCACCTGTGCCAGGGCACTTCCGGCCCGGCAGCGAAGGACGTCGGCCGCCCCACCCCGCCCCGGGAACCTCGCTCAGTTTCTGCTGCCCGGCGCAGGTGAGTCCGCGGTGAAACTAGTGAGTCACGTGGCCCCCGGGAGGGGGCGGGGCAGCCAGGTGTGAGCTGGGCAGGCCTGGCACCCGGACTGGGACTGGCGCTTTCTGTCCCCTGCCGCCGTCGCCGCCGCAGCCCGCTGGTCCCGGAGCCGCCTGTCCGGTAAGTGAGGGAGCCCGCGCATGGCGAGGGCGGGGGTTCGGAGCGGGACTGGGAGAGAAAGGGGCTGTTGGCGACTTTCCGCGAGTCCCCAAGGAAAGGAGCGAGCCGCCCCGGAGGCGAGGGCGGGCTTGGGGGCCGGGCAGGACCCAGAGTGGAGGACCTGGAGCGGGCCGGGCAGGACCCGGAACGCGCCCGTCTTGGAGTGGGCCGGGCAGGACCCCCGCGTTTGTCCCCGAGCCCGCTCCAGCTGGGCAGGGTCGGGCCGGGGCTGCGCTGCTTCCCGCGTGGGAAAGCCAGCCCGTCGTAGTTAAAAGTTGCTTTCAAGTACAGGTTAACGACAATCCCAGGGTTGCCCCCAGACCTCCGGGCACGAGGAAGCTGGACCGAGGGTTCGGCAGAAATGAGATTTGGTATCAGGACACATCTGCCCAGGAAGCCGACTGTTTCTAAGCTTTCAGGGTCAGTTAGCTATTTTGTAATAGAGTCGGCATGATGTAATGGAAAGAGGCCCAGTGGCAGGGATAGAACCTGGGCGCGAATTCCAGCTTGTCCACTGCTGAGCTGTGTGACCTTAGACAAGTCACTTAACCTCTCTGGGATTCGAGTCCTTCATCCTTAAAAAGAGGTGATGGGGACTTTTTTGGTTTTGGGACCACTTTACACGTCCCCAAATGCTTTTGTTGATTATCACTATCCATATTTACAGTTTTAAGAATTAAAACGACTTAATATTATTATGAAAATAGTTTTGACCTAACAGACCCCCCAGAAAGAGTCTCACGATGACCTCCACCACAGTTGTAGAACTATTGGACTAGATGACCTCAATGGAAGGTCCTTTCTATCTCTACAACCGTGATCTTTTGAGCCCAGACACTACAAAATAGTTCTTTGAACATGGAAACACTGAAAAATCTGAGGTATTTCACATTGACCAACAAACTGTCTGGCTTTATTTAAACTGAAATCTGTGGGTCTATCCTTGTTATTTTGGAGGAAGAAGGCACTTTCATGTAAGATTAGTAAATGATAATGCACCTCCCACCATTATTACACTTAGCCAAATTTCACTTTCAGAGAAGAATGTGAACACATGGAGAACAAAAACAAAAACCCCAAGCCACTTGCTCTTGGATGGTGGGCCTGTTTTTAAAAACATTTGAACTGCAAGCTTGAATCAAAATAAAAAACTATTCAACTGGAACACCAGAATACTCCCTGAACCAATCGTGAATGGAATCAGTGTTTCATTTATTTAGAGCCTTTAGGAAGTGAATGGGGTACGCACACATTTAAGAAATGAATCAGCATCTCCACTAGCATTACAATGAAAATATCCACCTGAATCATTTAATTCATGTTGTTCCACTTTTCTCCAAATCCCAGTGATTTAAACATGCCCCTTCTCATCTCTTGGCCTCTTTTTCCCCTCTGTAAGATGAGGGGGTTGAACCAGATGATATTTCAAGATGTTTGCTGCTCCGATACTTTTTATATTAATTCTAGTAAGATATTATTGGCAAGACAGCCTACTACTGGAGAGCCAGATGCATAGGTGAAAGTGAGTAGTTACCCGTTTGGTTTAGGGAAAGCATAACAGCAAATAATTGAGTCACTGACACTTTAGTCTTCTCTTGGGAATTTAAAATTGTTAAGGTCTACAAGCCTCCATGTAACCTTTGTGAATTGCACAGTGACTAGTGGGACAAGTCTCTTATGGCACACTATTTCCTCCTGAACATGGGTCCAAGTGATTAATTTCAATTTAGAAATTTACTTAAAAGTAATCCACTGTATAACTTTTATAGCAACTTGCAAAAAAAAGAACTTAAATGCTGATTTTGTGAATTCTCTTTCAGTTGATTCCTGAAATGCAAGCTTAGAGGGCTAAAGTTGAAGATTAACCAGAAGCTCTTATGAAAGTAATGCATTTTGTGGGGTGGGCTTCCCTTTTCTTGGTTAAACACAGCCCTATTATTCTAACCTTCAGGACAGGGAGGGAGAAAGGTTTATGTTTTTAAAATTGTATAATTTTGATTGATGTGCTTTTTTTATGTTTTTTAGTTGTTACTTTTTTTTGTTCTGAGGTAATTTGTCACCAAGGATTTAGATTTGAAAATGTGACATGTCAAATATTTGTCATTCCTGTTTTATACTGAACAGTTACGCTGAATTAACGTTTTAATTTCTGAACCTTTTGATTTTATCAAGATAGGGAGATCCCTTAATTAGCTTTCCTAATTAAGACAAAATTGATTCCTCGTACTATGGATAGCCTCCCAATTTGGTTGCAAGGAAATGTGAGCCACCTGAGAAGAGTATTGTTTCCTGACTCATCAAATTACTGATATAATCATACTCTCAGTATTTTGCTTCAGCATCTGAGAGCAAGAATTTATCTGTGAGTTCTTTTTAAAATCATGTTTAAGGCTCATCTGAGAGAGGTTATTTTCATTTTTTACAAAAAGGCCTACATCGATTTTTTAGAAACAAATTGTTTTACAGATAACACAGATGCAAATAAATAATATTTCAAATGATATTTTGTTATTTATAACTAGTTTTAAAATCTGGGGATTAAATTTTCATCTCAGACTATCTGTGTGTGATAGAATTGCCCAACATTCAGTTCTGATGATGAGACATTTCAATTTTTGATCCTTACAGTATGAACAGAAAGAGAACTTTGGGTACTGCTTGTATAAGAGGAAGGGATAATCTGAAGGAGAATATAACTGTGCGTAATATATAACTTTAATTTTCTGAAATAGGAGTAAGAATCACAAATGTCATCAAATGGTGTGGTGCCTGAGAGAAGCTCTAGGAATCCAGGCAGTGTTTGTGATGACTCCTCCTATCACTCTGGTACAATGAGAACACTTGAGAGTCTTAGAGACAGTGAATTAGCTGTGAGCGCAGATCCTTTGCCGCCTCCACCTCTCCCCTTGCAGCCACCATTTGGCCCGGACTTTAATTCAAATGACCCAGAAGAACCAGTTCTAGCTCCAGATATCAAACCTGTAAGGAGGTTCGTTCCAGACTCTTGGAAGAACTTCTTCAAAGGGAAAAGGAATGACCCAGAATGGGACCGGCCTGGGTCTGACATCAGGTACATTTCTGATGGTGTTGAGTGTTCTCCACCAGCCTCACCAGGAAGATCAAATTACTCCAGTGACCCCAAAGATCCACGCAGAGAGTCTGGTGGAACTTACAGTTCACGGAAGGAAACTGAAGCATTTCTCCCCCAGGATTCTTATGGATCCCTGGGACGACACACGCAGACAGCCCTGACTTACAGCGAGAAGGTGGAAGAGTACAACCAGAGATACTCCTACATGAAGTCCTGGGCAGGACTACTGAGAATCCTTGGTGTTGTGGAGCTGCTTTTAGGGGCAGGTGTCTTTGCCTGTGTCACAGCCTATATACATAAAGACAATGAATGGTATAACCTGTTTGGATATTCACAGCCATATGGAATGGGCAGCGGCAGCATGTATGGAGGCTACTACTACAGTGGCCCCAAAACCCCTTTTATACTTGTGGTTGCTGGGCTGGCTTGGATTACAACCGTCATTGTACTGGTTCTTGGCATGTCCATGTATTATCGGACCATCCTTTTGGACTCTAGTTGGTGGCCTTTAACTGAGTTTGGAATTAACGTCGCCCTCTTCGTTTTGTATATGTCTGCGGCCATAGTCTATGTCAATGATACCAACCGGGGTGGACTCTGCTATTACCCTTTATTAATACACCAATAAATGCATCATTTTGCCGAGTAGAAGGAGGCCAGATAGCGGCAATGATATTTTTGTTCGTCACAATGATTGTTTATCTCATTAGTGCTATAGTTTGCCTAAAGTTATGGAGGCATGAGGCAGCAAGGAGGCACAGAGAGTATATGGAACAGCAGAGGGTAAGTAGTAAAGCTGTTATCTGATGGTCCTTTGTTTGTTTATCTATTGCCTTTTGTGTTTCAGTTATCAATAAATATTCCTATGCCAAGATAGCTCCTTCTTAGTTCCTTATTGTCCTACAGGGCAGGAGGAATAAATCTGTTAATGTAGAGAAAACCATTTTTGTGTTCTAGAGTGTAGAAATCCTTGCCCTGTGCTACTGATATGTCATGGCATTCCTTTTATTCCATGCTCATATTTGACCATTACACCACTGTGAAAGTGGGCTGCAGTTCGTAATGTATTGTTTGTCTTCTAAGTCATTATGTTTGTCAATATTTGAAGTGAATTTGAGGTTGCTGACTAAATGGATTGTAAGACCTTTGAGGTTCCTTCCAGGTTTAAATCTGTGAACCCTGTGGTCTTGTTTTTGAATTATTAAAATCAAATTCTTAAGAGAATACTGATAACTAATATTAAGAAGTCCTTTT